GAAACCCCCCCGTCTTTGCCCCTCTCCGCCTGGCCCGCCACCATCTTCTTTGACTGCCCACCCCCCCATATTATTATTTATTCAATATATTATTAATTTAAATATTATTACATGTTTTCAAAAATTAAACCACCAAACGTAGTTTCAGTTTTTTTTAAAACTGAAATCAATCTCTGAATAAAACTACCAAACGCATTTCAGAAATAATTCCAAAATGAAAATGAAAACGTTTTCATTTCTATTTTCATACAGAAATAAAATCATTTTGAAACCAATTCTAAACGCACCCGAAGAACCTTAAAAAAATAATAGGAACAAAGTGAAAACAATCACAAGTCAATTGTATTTGAGAATGTGACTGTCTTTTTTTCTCTCAAACTGAGAGAATTTATAGTACATTAGGGATTGTGGGTTTAATTCTCCTCATTAATTTAAAAGTTTATTCTCTCTTCAATATAATAAGGCTCTTCACCCTTTTTGGGTGTTACAAATAATTAATAAACAAATTAAACTTGAGTAATTAAATGCCTTTAATCGTCGATCGTTACTTGACATTGATGCTTAATAACTCTTGAACTTCCAACTTCTTTCATACCCGAGCGTACGCTCGGATAGTTATCTTAGCGCACGCTTAGGTAGTTACCCTAGCGTACACTTGGGTGGTTTTCCTAGCGTACACTCAAGTGATTATCCGAACGTACACTCAAGTCACCTAAAAACTTTTTACATTTTATTAGCTCCGAAAAATCCATCCAACTTATGTGTTATTATTTATTTATTTATTTTATAGTTAGAACGCCAATGACATCCTGTTCTCGGACACGTTATCTTTTTCATCGAAAAAATGGTAATTGCTTAGTCTGAAAAAACGACAGAAAAATTTAAACTATAAAAGTCGTAACTTAATTAAACGACAGCAAAGCTTCTACACGAAAACTGCCGTTTTTTCTTCGCTATGAGAACGTCTGCCATGTTTCGAAACAACAATAATAAGGTTCACGGTGAAATAACAATGACATATGGCTTTCTCTCTCTCTTTTTTTTTTTTGGGAGATACATACGGTTTCTTTCGAGTGGCGGACATAAACGAAAAATTGTTGTATGTTTCCATTAGGCCGACGAGAAAGGTTTAATAGAGATGACGTGTCATTTTATCTCCGTACATTGTCCTTTTTCATTTACTGTCGTTTTGGTGTTAACCGCCGTTTCCGACTTATGTCTTTATTTGTGTTTTTTTTTTTGTTGTTTTTTTTTTTTAATGTCGTTCTTATTAGGGGTGACAATTCGTGTCACGTATCGTATTTTGATTATTTTTTTTTAAATTTGCAGTCAACCCGAACACGATCTGTGACACGAAATTTTTTAAAAACTATAACACGAACACGACACGACCACTTTACGAGTTGACATGACACCATCCGAAAATGACTCGTGACACGAAATTGACCCATGAATCTGAAATTGACACAAAAATTGTATACTTTTAATTAATTTTTTACATATTAGAAATAACTTAAAATTCATAACACACTAAATTACAATAACCTCCATTGAAATTAAATAAATAATAGTATAAGATTTTAAATATAATTATCATGATATCACAAGTTCATAATAAAATTTAAAATATGAAATGAAAAATATATGTATTTTTTAGTTTTTTACGAGTTTCGTATCGTGTTCGGGTTTGGCGGGGCCAACCCGAAATTGATCCGTGTTTTTTGTGTCAATTTCAAGTCGACCCAATTCTGACCCGAACCTCTTTTTTTCAACCCTAACCCATAAAATTTGTGTTATTTTTGAGTCGTGTCGTCGTATCGTGACCCATATTATCGGCTCTAGTTCTTATGTCGCCATTTCTTTTTCTTTCTTTCTTTTGGCTACTGTTGTTATTCATTCCATTATTAATTTTGTTTTCTTTTTTTTTTGTCATTGTACTTGAAAAAACAACAAAGCAGAACAAGCCAGTTCCGAGTTCGCAACGCAACAGTTATAGCTTGTGTGGCTTAACCGGAAGGCAATGCTCAAACTTCTGATTACATAAATACCTTAAAGTTATAATCTTATGTCGTTTCCCGCCAAATATTAGTTCGGTTGCAACAAAAATGTGTTGGTCCTCTAACTACTGTAGTGGCTTGCTCAAACTTTGCTGCGAAACTCAAAACCAAGCGCTAGCAAAGAAGCTCCATGGCCACATTGTCAGAAACTTGACAAACCCAGAAATCTTTCTTTCCAATAAACTCATCGACGCGTACGGGAAATTGGGTAAGGTGAGATATGCGCGCCACTTGTTCGATCAAATGCCTCAAAGAAATCTTTTCTCGTGGAATACCATTCTCTCCGCTTATTCGAAATCTGGTTATCTTTCTGAGATGCAAGAGATCTTTGATCGAATGCCATCTCGTGATGGAGTCACTTGGAATGCGCTTATTTCCGGGTATGCTTCTTCTGGTTCAGTGGCTCAGACTGTAAAGGTTTATACTTTGATGTTAAGTGATGGAACCGTTAATTTGAACCGGATTACGTTCTCGACGATGCTTATGCTCGCGTCGAGCAAGGGTTGTGTAGACTTGGGCAAGCAGGTTCATGGGCACGTAGTGAAATTTGGGTTCGAGTTGTACTTATTTGTTGGTAGTCCTTTGGTGGACATGTACTCAAAAGTGGGCTTAGTATATGATGCGAAGCGGGTTTTTGAAGGGTTGGAGGAGAAAAATGTGGTTGTGCATAACACAATGCTTGCAGGGCATTTACGGTGTGGATTGATGGAAGACGCGGAGTGTTTATTTCGTAGAATGCGGGAAAAAGATTCGATATCTTGGACTACGATGATTACTGGGCTCACCCAGAATGGTTTTTGCGGAGAGGCGCTTAACAAGTTTGGAGAAATGAGATTGGAAGGTTTGACAATGGATCAATTTACATTTGGTAGTGTATTGACTGCATGTGGGGGACTGTTGGCCTTGGAAGAAGGCAAACAAATTCATGCTTTTATAACTAGGACATATCCTAAGGATAATGTGTTTGTGGGGAGTGCTCTTGTTGACATGTATTGCAAGTGTAAAAGCATAGAAGCGGCTGAATCAGTGTTCAAGAGAATGCTGCACAAGAATGTAGTTTCTTGGACTGCAATGGTAGTTGGTTATGGCCAGAATGGATACAGTGAAGAGGCTGTACGAATCTTTTGCGATATGCAGAGAAATGGGGTTGAACCAGATGAATTTACCTTGGGAAGCGTAATTAGCTCTTCTGCAAACCTTGCTAGCTTAGAAGAGGGTGCTCAGTTTCATGGCCGAGCGACAGTTTCTGGCTTAATTTCTTTCATTACAGTTCCAAACGCACTTATTACATTGTATGGAAAATGTGGAAGCATAGAAGACGCCCATAAGCTATTCAATGAAATGAAAATAAGGGATGAAGTCTCTTGGACTGCATTGGTATCAGGGTATGCCCAGTTTGGAAAGGGCAATGAGACAATTGCTTTGTTTGAAAGAATGTTATCCCATGGCTTGAAACCCGATGGGGTTACTTTCATTGGCGTTCTTTCAGCTTGTAGTCGAGCAGGTCTAGTGGAGAAAGGGCGTCACTATTTTGAATCTATGGTGAAAGCACATGGAATTAAACCAGTTCTTGACCACTACACTTGCATGATTGACCTTCTCAGTCGAGCTGGAAGGTTAAAAGAAGCAAAAGAGTTCATAACTAAAATGCCTTGTAAGCCTGATGCAATTGGTTGGATCACCTTGCTGAGCTCTTGCCGGACTCATCGAAACATGGAGATCGGGAAGTGGGCAGCTGAGTCTCTTCTGGAATTAGAACCCCATAATCCTGCAAGCTATGTCTTGCTCTCGAGCATCTATGCTACTAAAGGAAAATGGGAAGATGTGGCAAAGTTAAGGAGAGATATGAGAGATAAGGGGGTGAGAAAGGAACCAGGGTGTAGTTGGATTAAATATAAGGGCAGAGTACACATTTTCACAGCCGATGACTGGTCAAACCCATTTTCAGATCAAATATATGCTGAACTGGAAAAACTAAATGGAAAAATGATAAAGGAGGGTTATGTGCCGGATATGAGTTATGTTCTTCATGATGTTGAGGAATCCAAGAAGAGGACATTGATTAACTATCACAGCGAAAAGCTAGCGATTGCTTTTGGGTTGATACTTATTCCGCCTGAAATTCCCATACGGGTTGTCAAAAACCTTAGAGTTTGTGGTGATTGTCACAATGCCACTAAATATATTTCTAAGATCACTAAGAGAGAGATACTTGTAAGAGATGCGGTTCGTTTCCATTTATTCAAAGATGGGGCGTGTTCTTGCGGCGATTTCTGGTAATGATCGGAAGATCAGGAGAGTGACCAAAAAAGTTTTGATTAGTACATTCATTTGATGTGTTCTCGTCATTTTGCAACAATCACATTTTTTAGAGTAACTTCTTCACAAAGTGGATGCATTGTTCAGGTTTGTGGATTTCATCCATAGCTCTATATAAATTATACAAGCAAACATCTATTCAAATTCAATAGCTGCCATCAGTTGCTTGGCTAGACCTGGCCGAGAATATTTAACATGATGTAGTTGAGTCATGCTTGACGGATAAGATTATTGAGGCAAGAGACAGGAGAAATTTACTTATTTGCTTCTGTGTAGAAATAACGCTCAAGCATAAGCTTTTAATATGCTTGTTGAGATGTTAACTAAACTGTACTGCACGCATACGTGCAAGCATTTACTCTTTTTTTTTTTTTTTTGCTGAAAAGTATGTGCAAGCATGTATCATATTAATTGGATTGGTCAACATTTTAGAATACATGCTGCAGTTTTATCCTCCATTTCTCTGGTAAGGTAATGTCTTTCCCTGAGGGAGTTTGTGAATTTGCCAAATAGATCAAGTGACACATACTTTTGATTTTAAATGAAGAGGAAAGAGATTTCTATAATTAATATCACAGGAAAAGAGAAATTTATACTAAAACAAATACGGAAAAGAACACCAAGTCTAATAGCACAGATCATAGAAGAGTTGAAGGGGAAATATCCAAATATTTTTCAACAATGTAGATTAACTTACAAAACTCTTAAACATTGTGAATAACTAACTATATAGATCACAAGAATTGTGCGTCTGAAGCGTACTTTTTATTCCTGTGATGACCTGATGCACTCCCCTTGACCTTGATGTGGGTTCTGCATTATGTGAAAAAAGAGCTAATTAAATCAGACTTATAATTGAAAGCCAATTGATGTAAAATAGAAACATTGACAAGCTTTACCTGCAGCTGTGTGCAGATCTCTATGAGCTCAGCAGGAGGAGCCCAATCACCTTTTGCAAATCTCTATGAATTCAGCAGGAGGAGCCCAATCACCGAAATTCCTCTCAATAAACTGGTAAGCAATGCCACTCCTTCCGCTCCCCATAATGAAAAGTCCTCCTTTGATTTCTCCTTCTCCTTTCAAGTTCTGCTTTATCCCCATTGCCTTCGCGCGCCTGTAATTTGCTATGGCTCGCAGGTTGAAAACAAATCCTGACAGGAACTTCTCTTTGAGCAGCTCCCCACCACCAAGAGCTTTGAAGAAATCCAAGCCCCGGTCGTAGAGTACAACGCCACCCCAGTACCTTGGCCAGAAGTCTTTCACCTGCATCATCAAAGCAAGAGTTCAGCCCTGTGTTATTCGAAAGCATGAGAAGTATAGTGGCGAATACCTCTGATTCTATGTGTTCATGAAGAACCGCATATAGTTGAACTCCCAGTGCATCAAATATTGGTTTTTTGGCATATAGCTGGTGAGCTTCAGCTCTACACATAATGCACCTGTTTCAAGTCCAATACATGTAAAGAATCAGTTATGTTTGATCAATTACATCCAACGGAAAACTCTTTTTCTCTAAATACTCCCGGACCTTTTCTTCAAAGTCGCCAATCCATATCTTATCCATTTCTAAGCACGCTTTTACACTGGAGTCATGTTTCTTATCTAGGCTATACAAACATATCCACAGAACTATGACACCTTTTCTTTTAACTTATTTTGATTCGAGTGATGGTAGATTTGTTGTTGAGGCATAATTTGTAAAAGACACGTGCTATTAAAGATTTACCCGGGACGTCGAATGCAGAGGATCACAGCTGGTTTATCTCGCCACAATTCTGATGCCTTCATTGGAGGTGCCTTGGATTTCACCAAACGCTCCATCCCAATCTTGTACTCTGGAGTTAATTTCTGCAGCGAGATGTTTTCGATAGCAGAATAAGGAGCAACTTGATCAACCACAGGAGGAGGTTTCACGCAACCACACGCTCTACTCTCGCCTGGCCCTGCAGCAACAATCCCTTTGAAGGTGTATCCTTCACCAATCTTGAAACTAGCCAAGGACTGCTCAAGCGATTTACTGCTATTTCTCGCCATTGGTCTCGTTATACTTCGCAGGTTTTGAGAGTTGGCCTGCACAAAGCTCTTGTAAGTGCTGTTATTTGTGGATGGTCTGCTGGCCATTCTGGTGGGAGGAAGAGCTTTTGTTTGGGGAGAGGAATCAGTACATGGGCCGCTCCTGTCCATGAAGCGCGCGATATGGCCTCTCTTCATGCCAAACTGTGAAGAAAGATCTGCAGAACTCAAACTAAGAAGCTCAGGAAGACATTTCCCAGATAACTCAAGCTTATCTCCATATTGCATCAGCGAACGGTCGTGCAGGTATGTCCTGATCTCCAGTGCATCCTATAGTTAAACAGAGAAAATATACCTTATGTTACGGACTAACCTTTACTAACGAGAGCAATGAAATACACTCAATCACACAGTTAATTTATAGTGGTTTACTCTCAAGGTCAAGCCGCATGCCAACTCTCTGTTCGGTCAATAATTTGGCTCCAAAGACCCAACATCCCGGTATCGGAGGTGGATATGTTTGTTCTCAGATTAGTGTGCTTCTGTTGAGAATAAAAATATTGGTGAAGGTTGATTCAGGATATAACTAACCTTTTGTTCTCGTGTCATATTTGTGGCATCCATGTCTTCTACATTCATGATCTTCAAGGTTGGTACGTCATCCCAGCCTTCCTCTAACAGCTTTGGAAGAAGTTCTTTGAGAATTCCATTCCCAATAAATTCTTCAATCGAAAAAGAAGCCATTTTATTTTTTTGAAACCAGAGAATGATTCAAAAAAACACAACTTTCCTTTTCTGAAGCAAATCCTTGAGGTATATATATAAGGTCTTTACTACATTAAAATAGTATTTTAATGTCCGGCAATATCTATGACGCAAAAGGTTGTATTGGTATATTTGTCTCTCGTTACAATCCAACTACTCCAAATAAGTTGAGCTGGGATTATACAGCCATTCTTACAATTAGGTCCCTTGGATATTCTATAGAGAAGCAAAGATTTTCTTCTCTCTACATGATTTTTGTGGATTTTCTTGGGTATCAAGTATTATACTATGCTTCTGACTTATTGGTGAGCTCCAAGAATATTATTCTAAAATAAGTTGCAAACCACCCCTTTAATGCGCTTAACTATATAGGGACAAAGAGAAAACAGATTGTAAACGACAAAATATACAAACAATATCCGGACTGACAACATTGGAAACTAGATGTCAAGGTAATATTTCGACTAAAATATTGATTAGTGGATGGATTTGAAGTAATCTCAGATGTTTATAAACATGGTTATGTCATTGCCGGCCAAGTCCTGCTTTGCTTATTGTATACTATGTTCTCCAAAATGTCAAACTCTGTTGCCATATTTGCATGACAAGTCCCCTGCCTTTTGATTATGTTGCACTCAGATCACCAAACGTTTTTTTTATTCCATTTAAATTCAAATGGTATACTGTTGTAGCAATTGCATCCTTGGGCTGCGCAACGTCCTTTCCGCCGTTAACTCATGACATGTATAAATGCGTCACATTTTCAGGGGCATTTGTGTAGTTTTAAAATCGTCAATTGATATTTCAGACGTTCTTCGCACAATATCCTACCATACTAGTAGGAAAAAAAACACTCGTTACTACTTTTTTAGCAGTTCACTAGTTATCAAATTCTGTCAATTTAACATAATATTTAAATAAAAAAAACTTTGATGTGATTTTGGTTAAATTTAATGTTGAAAAACATGATAACAAATCTATAATAATGTAAGACAACTAAAGGTCTCCAGAATAATAAATCCATCGAATCCAACCTCTTAATTTATCAAAAGTTGCATGATTACAAGCATAGCTCAGCAGTAGATCCGTACAAAAGTAGAGAAAGGAATAAGAGAAAGAGGGAAATAATTGATGAGAGATTTTGAAATTTCATGAAATGGCCTGAAAAATAATAACAAGTGTACTATGCATGTGATACGTCAATGGGAAAATGAACACCAATGTTGCCAAAAAAAGAAAAAGGAAAAAAAAAAAAAAAAACAAAAATGGCAAAAAAAAAAAAAAAAAAAAAAAAAAAAAAAAAAAAAAAAAAAAAAAAAAAAAAAAAAAACCTTTTTTTAGCCCAATAGGCTGGGGCCGATCACTAGGCCAACGTTGCTCTCGGTCCGGTCTGGCTATTTAGTGTATTGCTTGCTATAAAAACATAATGTTAGGGACTTAAATGAGACTGAGAAAAGTTAAGGACCCTAGGTGAAACAAAGAAAGAGGTTAAGGATTTATGTTGCAAAACCCCCCCACCCAAAAACCCCCCCCCCCCCAAAAAAAAAAAAAAAAAAAAAAAGAAGCAATTATGCAACCAACTTGTACAAGTAGGGTCGGTCGAAATTGATCTCTTTCGATATAAAAAGGGAGACCCCGAAAAAAAATAAAAAATAAAAATAAATAAAAGGAAGTTGCTATCCTCATGCCCGTTGATGTCAATCTTTGACTACAATTTAAAACTTGGCCATCTCCAAATGTAATCCATTCCGAGGAAATTCTCATCTCTTGTGAGAGATAGTAGGAGATCCCCACGACACATGTTCAAACTTTGTCACAGTCACCAAAGGGGTGTGTGTTACGTTATGGAACGTCTTTCTACCTTTGGCAGAGCGAATTTCAAGGTTTTTACATGTCCAAACCAAATCAATAATCAGGAGTGTTTTATCTTTTCTAAGCCAATCATACTTAACATTATGGAGAATCTTAAGCGGTGTATAAAAATATACCTTACCTGTAAGACACAATTTTTATTATTACCTTCTCATTTCGTTCTGTGAAAGAGTTGGGCAAGCATGATTAGTGGTGGAGCCACTTGAGGCCGGAATGAGGAGAAAATTAGCATCTTCAACAATAACTTCAAAAATTTTGTATTTTTCATATTTCGTCTCATTAAGATTCAGTTTTTCCATGTACGTCCTCATTGAACTTTATGCATTTTATTTTTATTTTTATATTTACAAAAAATTAACGTATGTCCCCATTAAAATAGAGAGTTAGCTCCGCCATTGAGCGTGGTCATTGTATAAGTTGAGACCCCATAACAATATTTACAGCTACCTTTTAGGGAACAATTGAGAGCAATGTAATCATGTGAGTATACTTACATTTCCTTATGGCAGGACATCTTTTATTAGATACAAGAGAAGTTTCACATTGTATAGTAGGAAGTAGTGGAAGTGGGCATCTTATTTAAATGTCTCAGAATTTTCTCAGCCATTTGTCTTGTATTACCATTCCCATGATGGAAAGCACTGACCAATGTGGAAGGCAACAATCTATCTTTTGATATATCAGAAATAGATTTATCCCCTCCTTTCATTAAGAACTTTTCAATCATCCAAAAGGACTTTTGCCGCAATCCCTCTTGCGTGTGCTCTTTCACAACATTCAGAACATGTTGTAGCGCATCAACTCCATTCAATATGCTCACACTCTTCTCCACATCAACTTTGTCATCCAACAAAGTGCATATAGCCGACAATACAGCTTCAACAACCTCTGGATTCTCATGGTCAAGACAAGCCAGCAATCTCTCAACCGCCTTTGCATCCACTAAACAGAATGTGTTTTCTGAAGAGCATGCTCCTCCGTGAACTGGGCATACCGCGGTTTTCTTCCTCCTAGATGAGCCCGGAGACAGAAACTTGGGAGCGGAGAACATCCTCAGGAGCTTGGTTTTCTTTACTTCTGGTGGTTTGGATAGATTTATTGACTCTGATGAGAGATTCTCCAACCCTATGGCGGATAGCCTCTGGACTTCGTCGCTCGATGTTTTCACAAGCAGTTCTGTGAAGACGGCTGTGAAATTATGGGATCTTGCTAGAAAGAGGATCTGAGGATCGAACAATGTCGTTGTGAATCTGACTAGAATTCCCACTAGGCCTTCCAAGTAACTGCTTGTGTGCCTGCTTGACCTTGTTCCAATCTTCTGAATCTGATTGATGGTTTGTAAGATTGTAGGCACAGTGTTCTTGGAAAGAAGAGCTAGGTTGAGTGTCAAGTGTTGTTGGGGGAGTTTCGCGATAAACTTTGCCGAAATTGCTTGTTTTTCGGATATTCGTTTTACTTCCCTGGGGCTTTGGATGAGGCTCTCGGGTTGGCCTCTGATTTTGCAGAGCTTTTCTGCTAGTGTGTGGCCTATTTGGGGTGAGAGCATTATTAGTAATTTAATGGCTGCAATCCCAAGCTCTTCACGCGGATTGTTTATGAGTTCAATGAGAATGTAGCTTGCTTCACTCTCTTTGACCACTGAGATAATTGTGGCCATTGATTTGGGAGTCTTTGTGAGGCACAAAAGTATTCTTAAAAGGTTGATGTTTAGCTCATCTGGGGCTGAGTTCTTGAGCATGTAGATGATGCCGTGGACACAATAGTCTGAAGTCATGGTGTGGCCATTGGAACTAGCTTGCAGGTTCTCAAGCTCAAGACCCGACTCGAGTATATTCGCCAGTATCGCAGCTGCTTCAATTTTTGAATTCACTAGCTCGTCGTAGATACTCCGACTGAACATCTCTTCAACCATGATTTGTATAATTCCAGCTTCAGTAAGTACTTCAGCATTAGGTTGGTACAAAGAGATTTGTGCCAAAGCCTTGAACGCCGCCCTTCGAGACAGAGCGTTTCCAGTTCTTACCATTTTTATTAGACTGGGAGACGCTCTTTCGGCCACATAGGTTCTGCTGTCATGTCCTAGAACAATATCCCCAAGATAGCTTGCCATTTCTGTCTTCATCTCTTCACAGCCTTCACATCAAATTTCAACAAGCAAGTTGAGATTAGAGAACAAATTACTTTTCAAGACCACGTTTTAGAGATCTCATCACACCTTAAAACTGCATAATTAGTATTTAATACTGCTAGTTTTGTTTCAACACACACAAAAGTCCAAAAGTGAATGAGAATGCTTGCTTTCTGAATAAATAGTACCTTGTTCAATATTATACAAAAGTGGTTCCAAGAGTCCGTTTTCTGCCATGCACTTGATGTTATTCGGTGAAGTCTCCAAGTTAGTTAAAGTTTCACCTGCTTTTCCTGCAGCAAAGGCATCAACTGAAGGTTTGTACTTAATTGTTATCAGCATCAGAATTGCTCCAGGAACCAATCCTATTTTGTCGCACAGCGAATGCGATCGTGAAAGCTCGAGTAACAATAGCAATGACGCATGCCTTACAGGCTGGTAATTACTTGACAGCATTCTTATCAGCACTGAAAAATCCAATTTCTCAGCTATCATTTCCTGCACCCAAAACATTAAAAAAATAGAATGAACACACTAGCAATTAATTGCTATGTCTAAGCAAGTGAAATCACTAATTGCTCAAAAGAGTCGAGACCTTGCTTTCGTTGTCATCCTCTGCCAATTTTGTTAGCAGTTCCAAAACTGCACATCTAACATCTTGGTTCTTGTACTCCAGAGTCTTAACTAGCAAAGGCAACATTCCGACACTGCAAACTTCAACCTTGTTGTATGGATTCCTTTCACATATCCCATGAACTTCTTTTATAGCTTCAAATACCATATTATCTGAACTAGCCAATGACAAAGCAGCCCGCGCTACCTTAATCGTTGCTACTTCATTCCTTTTCTTCCATTCCTCTATGGTGGACTTAAGAGCAATATTTGAGTTGTAAACTCTACTAACCAATTTCTTTCCAGAAGATGGGCAGAAAATCTCCTCAGAATCTTTGAACATTTCAAACCACTCACCAATTGCTTTTCTTTCATATGTTAGTCCACTTTCTATAGTGACTGGATCATCCATGATCTTCTTTGTTAATGGACAACAGAAAGTTCCATATAGAGGCTCTACTGTTCCATATAGAGGCTCCATGTAGTGAGTCACTTGGGGCAAAATTGCCAAGGATCTGTTCATGTTTCCAAGTTTCACTTGGCTACTATCACTTTTGCTTTTGGGGAGACTATTTTTGGGGTCTAAGAAGTAAGGATTATCCGTTGAAACCTCCACATTGATAGAGTAGAGATCTTTTTCTTCTAGTGTTGTTGTTACTTCAATTGGTTGCCTATCCGGAGACAACATCTGCGCATCTGAATTGCCAAGCTGAGTCGCTTTAACTTCGAAATGAGAGTTCTTCATCTCATTCGAAAGAGATTGAATCGCAACTTCTGCGTATATTTCCTCTTTGAACGCTGAGGAAGGAATTGAGCTCAGATGTTGTCCCATGCTTCTGATCACCTCCTCCAGCTGTGAAATGATGCTCTCGAGTTCGGGACCTGAGACGGGTTTGTTGCCCTTTTGTAGTCCTTGCACAAGATCCTTGGCCAAATCAACGCTTTGGGATAGAGATCGAACAATCTCCATTGCGTTTGGTGGGGAGTTCTCCGTACTTTGTAGCTCCATTATGGCTATAGAAACCCTGTAGAAGTAGCACCCAATTTCGATAAAGTTTTCCTGCTCTCCCTCTATGTATGTTACTGATTCTATGATCTCCGAGATGGCTACTAATAACAAATCCACAAGACTCGTTATCAGAGTTGTATCTTCTTTTATCTGTTCAAAAAAAGTGAGAAAGAACAAATCAAATTTCATTATCAATGCTAATAGTAGGGATAGTGGTTTTGTTATCTATTGTACTTTCATATATAGTACAGTTGAGTAACTTCAAATTGGTGCAGAAAATCATGACTGATCTGAAACCATTAGAGGTTGTTTGTAAACAAAGAAAACTTGACTAACAAGGAAAAGAACTATGCCTAATATCTGAAATTAAATTCTCAAAATTTGCACTTTTCAGCTTCCAAAAGAAGGCTTTGATGCTAGCTTATTATATCACCTTCAGGCTTTAACTTCAAAAACCAATCAATACATAGTACTGGAACCATATGTGAATCCAAAAATTTTATATGATCCATTATTAAGATTTTAGTTCTGAGACTCAGAGAAACTAATTTCAAAAGATTAAGAACAACTAATAGCTTATAGAAGCTCCTACCGACATCGCATCGATGCTGCTGTTTTTTTTGCTGAACCCGATTGACCTTACTGGTATGAGCACCCACCCCAATTTTGCAAGAACAAAGCAGTAACTATCTTTTGAAGGCATAGAACTTCTGTGATAAAAAAAAATATATACATATTTTCCTCAGCTGGATATGCCGATATAGTATTACCGGTTGCAAAATTTTTTGCATCTTCTTCATGTTTGTATTTTCTGAGAAAATGACTTGAATTCTTACTTAGACTAAGAAAGAAGCTGCATAAGACTTGGTAGGCTTGGTAGACTTGGTAGACTTGGTAGACTTGGTACACCTGGTAGGTTTGATTCGGTGCAAGTTTCTTTCTCATAATTAACCTGTACAAGACAGTCTTGGGTATTGGTTATTGATAATGAAAAGTTGACATTGCTATTGGTAAACTCCAATGGCATTGATTTTTGGTAGTCCTTACTCTATTATTATCTTCTTTTTCTTCGTTGTTACTGTGCATTAATTTGTCAAATTAATACATTAAAGTTTTGAAGTTTAATTGGTAACTCAATCTTATCGGAACTTCCCCATTTGTTTTCTCTTTTTTAAATAAAATAAAATTGTTTAGTCATTTTATCTTCGACTGGAGAAGAGTGACAAGAAATTTGAGATTCTTGAATTTTCAAAGGTCATAATATGATACCCATCTGACATGTTAACTTTTGGCATCGATATTCTTAGCCCCTGATTTTTTTTTTTTTGAGCAATTCTTAGCCCCTGATTTAACTAAGTAAATAGTGATACTTTTTGTCCATAGTTCTCTCAATACTATGTAAGCAAAATGTGGGAGAATATAATAAATAGTAAATTTTTGAAACTAAATTAAGTAAATAGTAGATTTGAAAAATATTTAAAGTAAATAACAGTTTACTGTGTAAATGTTTCATTTACGATTAGTAAAAATAGTTTACGTAGTAAAAAATATGTATTGACATAAAAAAAATTATTTTTTACTAGTCGTAAAAATAAAATTTAGGTAAAAAGTATGTATTGACGTGGGAAAAAAACTTTTTTTACTAGTCATAAAAAGAAAATTTATGTGGAAATTTTTTTTTTTTTTTTACCAATTGTAAATAAAACATTTACATGATAAACTGATATTTACTTCAAATAGTTTTAAAATCTGCTATATACTTAATTTAGTTTAAAAAAATTTCTATTTAATATAATTTCCGTGAAAAGAAAAAATATTTAATACAATTACACATAACATGGATGATAGATACACGTTCTAAGGTATCCTAAAAATATGGACATTTCAGGGATGAGATATTTCTATACCATGTTTCAGCCAATATTCTTAAGAAAGAATCATTTTATCATGAATGAACAAATGCACACAACAACTAGATAGTATTAAATTATTAGATGATGCTCCTGAATCTGATTGTTAGTGGTAACAAGATCATTTATGTAAAAAAAAAAAAAATAGAATGCAAAACAGCCGGGTCACAAGTTTTTGGTGTGATCGTGGGAACAACTGCTTTCTTAGGGGCATCTTCAGCTCCACTGGCGACACAAGTGACGTGTGTTAGAGGCTTATCATGAGGCATATTTGGCTCCGCCGGCGACACAAGCGGCGTGTGTTAGAGACTTACCATCCAAAGCCTACCCATGCGAACTTAAAACCTGCCTGAAGGAATAATTTCTGAGAGGGTGGGAGAACTCTAAAATTCTTGTGTGTATCAACTTAGGTTTGGGGGTCCCTTTTATAGGGCTTAGAAAAGACTATGACTATTTCTGATGCGGAACAAAGAGTTTTTCCACTTTTTTTTTAATTTCTTGAGAGTTTTTCCTTCGGATTTTTTAACTTCACAAGAGCACTTTAATAGACAATTTCTCATTCATTTATTCATCATTTTAAACATATAAATATATCATTATGATGTTTTTATAATGGAAAACACAATTCTAAATTGAACCCTTACTAATACAAAATAGAGTTTTCAAACTATTTTTCCAACACTGACAAAAGGAAATAGAAAACACAACGACAAATAGAGTTTTCAAACTATTTTTCCAACACTGACAAAAGGAAATAGAAAACACAACGACAAAAGGAAATAGAAAAGTCTATAGTAAGGGGTAGTACTTTCCCCCTACTGGTAGTCGCTCAATTGCTTTTGTATGGCTCAGTTTGAAAGTTACACTTCACTATAATAAAATTGATTACATCTGATTAACTTTAAAAAAAAACACCAACAACTAAATTCATGAAACACCCGGTTAAATTAATTGAAATAAATTAATTTAATTTTGTTATTAGTGTTAGTTAATTGAATAATTAGCGATTAATGTGCTCTCATCCTTCTTGCTAGGCTATGTAACGATTTTGTCTTCATATTAACGCGATCAAGCTCCATTTCATCTCCAAAAATTTGTGAAATCGGTGGAAATCTAGTCGGAGTTGCAAGGGTAAATCTCGCGGCAACGAGGTGGGCTGTTGAGAGAGGGTCGACGATGACAACGGTGGGCCAAATGGGGAGGGGATGTGGTTGAATTCTCAAATAGAGAAATTTTTTGGAATTATTTTAATTTTAATTTTTTTAATACGTTTTGTAAAAAATAAATTATGTGCAAATTTCACATTTTATGTTTTCAAAAAGGGGTTTAGGGTACAAATTTTTTTTTTCTAAAATGTTAAGGTGCCGTTTTAATATTATAAAAAATACATAATATTAAAAACATATTTTAATATAACACAAGTATCAACACGATTTAATCTTTTTAATTTTTTAGACAAATAACCAAACTTTTTTTTTTTATTTTAAGAAAATAATCATTTTTTACCATAGCCAATCAACAATTGATTGATTAATTACTAATTTGTCAACGACTTATTATTAATTGAAATTAATTAAAAAAATGTTACTGACTCTATTTTAGATTATGATACAGATGCCACCTTATTTATTTGACACAGACATTTTGATTTTATCAAACAAAAGCACTTAACAATGACTCACTTTTTTCTAACATATTTACAACACTGCCATCCTTCTTTTTTAACCTTTTAAATTATATCTTTTATTTTAGGCACTACTCTTTTTTTTTTTCCCTGAAAATATTGTGCACGCATTATTAGTTTTTGCAGCGCCCGAGTGCCGGTTGGGTCCTTATCTATGACGATTTTTTGGGTAGGATTGTACATAGATTGGATTGGTACGGAGTAAAATTTTTTATTATCCGGCCTCAAAAAGTGTGGATTGTTTAGAAAAATTTCACAACCTAATGATGTTTGGGTTGAGTTGGGACGGGACGGGGTGGGTTGGGTGGTCAGGTTCATCATTCAAACAATCAAAGTTCAATTCAACATTCAAAATTCATCATCAAATAGAAATAATAACTCTAACATTCAAAGTTCATCATCAAATAGAAATAATACTGATTAGTCCATCATCAAATAGATAACAATTCAAAGTTCAATCCAACATCAAACATGAAGCAAAGTAGTCCATCCAACATCAAACATAAAGCAAACATAAATTAGTTGTTTAATTCAAATATATCCAAAACAAACACTGCAATAACAACCATCCTTATCAGTCCACACTCATAGGCTCCTTATCAAGCATGTTTGTGTGGATTGAGTTGTAATATGCGGGTTATTATAGGCTCAACTCACAAACTGCCCTAAACACCTCAGACATTTAGTGAGTCAAAAAATAAAAAATAATGTTATAAGTTACTTTTTTTAAGTTAGGTTGGAGTGGAATGAATTTAAATTTAAATTTATGTACAACCCTATTTCCTATTTCTGGGTTCCTATTTCCTACATAACCCTCATCTCCTCTCCTTTGCCTTCGTCATTTTCCCTATGTCAAAACAAGATTCTACCGCTCAAGTTGTATCAAACCCTTTTACCACAGAAAATCTATTTGGCAAAGAAACAGAGGAAAAAAAAGAAAAAAGAAAAATGGTCTCAAACTCTATCAAACCAGAGACAATCTGTTTGGCAAAAAAATAATTAAAAAAAAAAGAAAGAGAGAAATATTGATGGCAAAAATAAATAAATAAAAAAACCAAAAAGATCTACTTTCTTCTTGTAGACCAAAAATAGGGGCAACCCCTAAAATTTGTGAAATTCTTCGGAAGGTATGCAGAGGCCCACAAAATTTCCTAACGAATTTTCAGTTTTTCTTCATCATTTGATTTTCTTAAACCAGATTCATGGTGCACATAACACCAAGCAGCATAGAAATCTCATAATTATTCAAAACAGTAACTTTCCGAAAATCTAGAAACACCCACACAATGATCAAATGCAAGGGAAATAAGCGGAGATTTGAGGGTATTGTGGCCACCGTCATCCCCGACAACGCCGACTCGCTGAACTCTGACAAGAGGTACGAACAGACCACGGCGAGGTGCGCCGTGCAGATGGTGGATTTGCGATGGGGCTTCTTTCTCTTGTGGGTGGCTCGCGTGTTGAAAACCAACTCTAAATTTTATATGGAAAACATTACTCGAGCCGCCCTTGATGTGCAGTACGGGCTATTTAAGGAAAAGTGAAGAGAAGTAGGTTTTGACCTTATTACTTGTTAACTTCACTTATCCTGGATCAGGAATGATACATGAACATCTCCAATTTTTCCATTTTCTTGGAACAACATCAGACATACAACATCGTTTAAAGAACAAAAACATCCTCATTCCAAAAAAATACTTCTTGCAAACATATATACATACAAACACATATTTAACTCCTTTTTTCTTTTTTTTTCCAAACATACGCAATAGAACACTCCCCAAGTCAAAATGAAATTCATTCTCTCTTTAATTCCAACCAAATAACTATATCCATGAACTATTTCTTTTAATCAATCCCCTGAAATGTCAACTCACTCAAAAACAAAAAAGGAAAAAAAAAGAGCCAATCTTGTTATTGTTTTCCATAATCATACTCGTACTCATAATTTCATAATTCATTTTATCCGTCCACCAAACTAAACTATACTATACAATAAATTTATGATAATTAAATTTTTTTTTTATTTCTTCATTCACAATATAATTACAACTAAAAAGAGCATTAGTGAGTAATCAATATATACAACAAAAATGTACATTCGTATCACCAAACACCAAACAAAAATGTACATTCTTTCAAAGGTCACAACATTAGTATCCTCAACTCTATCGTGTAGTAATCCAACAGCAATTGACTCCCAGTCCAATTCCTATAAGGAAATTTCGTGAGTAACTTCATAATAGAAGGTAAAAGATATGCAATAAATAAGGTCGTATTTTGTTCACTTTAGAGTCTCACAAGTTCTCCTAGAATGCGTGCTACTTCAACTGGATGGATGATGAAGGGCTCTCCACTGCATCGCTTCTGACCATCATGAGCCTCAAAAGCTAGCTGCAAACCAGTAAAGCTATTTTTAATTTAAAAATAACCACCAATTTGAAATAATGGTTGGTGGGAAAAGCATGCTACATAAATTATTTTGTGTAAGTGAGAGCTGACCTTAAGAGCGTTATGGATCAATTCCAGTTCTTTAGATGGAATATATGAAATACAAGGTTTAACTCAAATCATGAATAGACAGTATCCATGGTCTAAGATTCTACAGGAATCAACAATACAAGGTTCTCAAATCATGAATAGACAGTATCCATGTTCATAGGATAAGATCATCATTTAGATTCTAGGTTTGGAAAATCAAATACCTCCCACAACCTTTCAGGGGAAACCTCGTCAAAGACATCTGAAGTCAAGGATGAAGAACATACATACAATCCACATAAATATGTGTGTGTAGAAATGAAACATAGCTAGGAATTCTGATGTCCACACATTACAAAGGAATAAACACCAAAACACAACAAAAACTGACCAGACAATATTAGTTAAGGACTTTATAAAGCAACTGTTTAACAAAGTTTCGATTTCGATTACTATACTAAACGTATCAATTTAAGCCACTAACAAACAAAATTGGAGGTGGCAAAATTAGTGATGGGGCTTTTTAAAACTCACAGCAATAAATCAAATTCAAATACCAAAACTCCTTTTGTGGACAATTCAAAGAACTTACAAAATTGGTTCTTGTTCTTCTTCCATTTCGCGCATTCGACAAGAGGGAAGAGCACTGAGGAGAATGGGCTGTGCTCGCGAAGAACCCAGTCAGGACTCTCGGAGCTTTCCACGCACACGACATAATGTTGCAGTCGTATTTCCCACTCCCATCCCCCTTCGGCAACTTATATATGCTCACACATTCTAAAGAAACTACATGAAACCAGAAACCAAACATTACTCAAAAACCTCAAAATACACGAACGACAAACATCATCAACAACCGAATTCTCAAATCATCAATCGCAATTCACTTCGATTCTTCAACATTTCAACCAAAAATACAAAAAATAAAATAAAAATAAAAATAAAAAACATACCACACATGCCCTTACAGTAAAACAAATTGGTAGAATCGAATAAAAAAAACAATCCCGGTGAAAACAGAACCAAAATGAAGAGCAACGAATCCAGAGCAAAAAATTTCAGTGAAACATAACCAAATCGAGATCGAGTACTTACAGAGGCAATAGTCTTGATCTGATGAGCTCCAACCGACAATCTCACAATCGCACGACGAGATCACGAAACCCTAACCACCACAGTCCTGTCTGACCGAGAGAACGGAGAGAGAGTCCGCCAAACTTCAATCGCAGGAGTAGATCGAACCCTGACGAGCATAGAGGGAGACCGAGAGAAAAGAGAGAGAAATGGGGAGAGAGAGAGCACAAAGAGAGAGCAGATAGCGCTCGAGAGAGAAGAGAGAGAGGACCGCGAAGAGCAAAAAAATTTTGGGTATGGAATTGTTTTCATTTAGCAGGGGTAAAATCGATAATAACGAAAATTTTATTGAACAGTCTCTTGTCACACAATATAAAATCAGAAGTAGTCTTTGAGTTACTTCTGATTTTACTTTTAAATGCTCCTTAAATTCTTTCAGAAGTACTTTTTCACATTTTTACTAAACGTAAAAAACAACTTTAGCTGCATAGATAATTGATTTTGGGCTCCCAAAATCCTTATTAACTTCAGATTATTTGGTTGGGAGATTCGTATCCCGATTCGAATCATGGTTCATGGTTCGTTACAGTATTTTTTCTCACAAAAAATACACTTGAATCAAAAATGGTTCTAATCTCATGATTCTAATCCATAAACCAAACGTCTCCTAAATTAGTCATAACTTTAAATTGAAAAAGAAGAATGACTGTCACGCCCCCCAAGCGGGGTGGGTGACGTGGAGCTCGATTAGGGATTAATAAAGCAGATTTCCAGACCGGGCCCCACACTTAACTGCATTAAAATACAAATAAATTACAGAAAATCCCAGAGCCTCTGACACACAAGGCTCCACCCCACAGGACATACAATATCGTACATACATGCTCATGTAAATAATCATTACAACAGACATCAACCACAGTTTAGTTAATCCAAATATTACATAAGTTTACAGAATTTCTCAAATTTCTTACATTTGTCTAAGAGGATGACCACAATCCTCACTTGATTCCAGCAGCAGCAGCACAACTCAGCTGCTCCGTAGCAAATATCCAGCTACTGTGCACCACTTCTAGAGTCTCCTGGGAGGGGTTTAGTACATTTAAAACATAAAACGTGAGCGAAAGGCCCAGTAGGATATTATTTTAAATGACTTAAAATAAATGAATAAATAAATTAGCGAGTAAATAATTGAATGAATAAGTAAATAAAATAAGACATTCAGTTCCAATAGATAGCCGGAACCTCACATCATTTTTCTCAAAGAAAATATAACTGAAAATAACCGTTTTACCGGCTTCAGCAAGTAATTAGTACAAATTACTTACCTAACCAAGTGTCTCACCTACCCGGACCGAGTTTCGGGTTCTGCCCCCGAGGATGCACTCTCCGCATCCTATCTAGGCTTACAGCAATAGACTCTATTACCAGTTCACAAGATCTCTTTGCTTAAGAAAAGCATTCATTAACATTTTGAAATCGTTAATACGACCCCACGAACTACTCAAGCCGCGGGCCCCATGACTGGACAAGCCATGAGGTTCATGATTAAACAAGTCATGGTTTTCAAAGCGTTTTCTTTCACAAATCAATCCTTTTCTTTAAAACATTTTCAAGGCCAAAATCCTTTTTGAAAACAGGCTCACAAGGAAAAGGGATAGAAATCCTACCTCGCACTATCAAACCTGGGACTAGCGTTGTCTTTTCCGGCTTCCGCTTCCTCAAGCCCCTTTAGTCTGAATCCTCAGCGATCACTGATGCAAAACAACACTTTAGGATTAATTCTCATTCCTAAAGCAATCCAAATATCAATTTCCAACCAAGATTTCCTATTAGTGTGCCCTAATCCATTTTCATGTTTCAAATTATCATTCCAAGGGTTTTCAATCTCAAATCAAGGATTAACAATGCTAATCCATCTACCTCAAGTCCCCAAATGAAGCTAATTTGGGTTCTCCCCAAAAACAGAGATCAAAACAGCAATTTCAGGCCAAACAGGGTCAAACCCTGTGTTAACCGGTCGACCGGTGACAGAGTAGTGCAACACTACCGGTCAACCGATAGTGTGCACACCGGTCGACCGGTCAGCCTGCAATCCGGTCGACCGCATAGGTCAACCGGTTTCCATGTGATCCGGTCGACCGCACAGGTCGACCGGTGAAATCAGCTGCGCGAGAGAAGCTCGCGGAAATCAGTCCAAAAACCTGCAAATCCAGTCCTAAATCGAAATATTTCAAAGAAAAACCACTAGATCTGGGTTCTAGGTCCTAAAACAAGTTCAAAGAACCCAAGATCTCCAATTTCTACTCTAGTTTTACTCAAAAACCATCAAAATCCGGTTTGAACCAAAAATAAGTTTTGAAATTTAAAAACTTGAGATTCAAGAGAGGTTCTTTGAGTAATCTTACCTTGAATCCTTCTCTTGACGTTGAAAACTTCTTTAAATCTTTCCTTGGTTCAAGATCCGTTTGATTTGGGACAAAAATGAGAGAGAGTGAGTGAGAGAGAGCACGGGAGAGTGAGAGAGAGAGTAAGGGAGAGAGACGCACGGGAAAGGAAGAGAAAAAGAAAAGAAAAGGAAAAGGAAAGGAAAAAGACATGTGTATAATATTTTAAAAGAACAGTCCAGAAATGCGTCCATACACACTTCTGGGTTAAAATAAATTACTGAGAATAATTTAAATACCTTGGAACTATTTAAACTCACACGTGTCAGAAACATTTATTAATTAAACTCAATTAATAATCTAGATTAGGCACACTAATAGTCTCAATTATCTTAATTAATCTCAACTAATTCTTCAGGGTGTTACAGTGTTGTAAATATGGTAAAAAAAGTGAGTTATTGTTAAGTGCTTTTATTTACTAAAATTAAAATGCCACGTGTCAAATAAATAGGATAACATCTTCATAGAGTCTCATTTAACATTTCTTGTTGATTAAGTAAAAATTAATTAATATTACAAATTGATCTTAAAAATCTCTAAATTTGTATCAAATTAAAATGAGAGAAAGAGAAAAATAGTCTAAGATTTTAGATGAATTAAAATTAATAAGCTAATAGTTTATATAAGTTAATAAATAGGCTAAATTACTGTTATGAACCATAACTTGTCTGGTTATAAACCATAACTTGACAAGTTATTGTCTATAATTCACAATTTTTGTCCATAACTTGTCTGACTATGAACCATAACTTAACAAGTTATGACCTATTAATTTTTATAACTAAAAATTAACTTATAAATTTTCTTAAACTTTTCATATCGGCCTAATCCCCAAATCAGTCCCGAACTATATTGCTTAATATCATCTGTGTTAATCAATAAATAGATTAAATCAATGATCGCTTAATTAATTAGAAAAACGATCATTTTTCTAATTTTATTTATAAAAAAAAAAAAACTCAAAAGCGCTGTTTACCTCTATATCCCTAGGTTTAAGCAGGGTTTTGGAGGCGGCTCCCTTCTACGGCTTCAGTTCACCTTCTTCTTCTAATCTCTCTCATTTATCATTTCCAATTTTCTTCTTCTTTCTCGCCGTCTTTAATATTAGAAGTTTGCGTGAAAATCTCAAAATCTCAGAGTGAGTCTCAGAGATCTCTATCGTTCAGCCCAGATTAATGGTGCTTTGGTTCTTTATTTTCAGCGCCAAATCCGTTTGCGCTGTTCCAATTGATCGCTAAATCACTAAGTTGCCTTTCAAAAACATGTCGAGGATTCTGGCCAAGCAATCTTCTCTCAGGAAGTTCAAGTTTTCTCTAAACTCTCATGTCAGTCCTTATTCTTCTTCTTCTTATTTAAGTTCTGCAGAATTCGCGAAAGATGTTAATTTTCTCGGAAAAACCAGGCCACCGGCGGCCCAAACCGGCGAGAATTCCCGGTTCGCATTAGTAGGTTTTCGACGATTAGGCGTAGTATTGTATCCCAGAAACGTGTTAGGAGAATCCAATTCTTTCAATTCGAGCAACAATTTTCATACTTTAGTTTGTTTCAGAGGCTACGGGAGCGCCGCCGAGGCCATTGCTTCGGAGGAGGATTTGTCGGCGTCTTTTTCCGACGAAATCCCGGAGTTGTTGGAGGAGGAGATTAGCAGGGAGAACAATGCCGAAACCTATTCGAAGGCACCGAAGAGGACCGTGGCCGGCATGGGAACCGCGAAGTACCAGAAACTCCGGAAGCGTCAGATAAAGATAGAGACCGAGGCGTGGGAACAGGCAGCAAAGGAGTACAGGGAGCTTATGGTTGACATGTGCGAGCGGAAGCTGGCGCCGAATTTGCCGTATGTGAAGTCGTTGCTCCTTGGCTGGTTCGAGCCTCTGAGGGATGCCATTGCTGCCGACCAGGAGGCGTGCAGGGAGATGAAGAATAAGCCCACTTATGCCCCATATTTCGATCACCTGCCGGCTGATGTGATGGCGGTTATCGCGATGCATAAGCTGATGGGGTTGATGATGACCAATAGTGGAATTGTTGGTTGCATCAGGGTTGTCCAAGCTGCTTCCCAGATTGGTGAAGCCCTTGAACATGAGGTGGGTCGTCTTATAATTTTTATTCTTGTTCATTGTTTGTTTAACTTTCATATGAAAGCTGGACTTCCTAATATTTTGTAGTAAACCATCAAGTAAAGTTTGAGTCTTTAGTTTGCTGTACTTGGAATTTTGCTTATAGAACAGAAACGATTCTAGATTTTCATTTTCTGGTACTATATATTTGCTCACTGAAGAAAATAGATCTGTTGCTCCTCAACTGATCCACGGCCAAAATAGTTTTCTTTTTTTTAAAAAAAAAAAAAAATTATTATTAGAACTGCAATCAGGGAGGTTATGATGTTTTCTAGATTCTGAAATGTATCATAAGGGATGGGTTTTAGCTGCTAGGTTGTTTAAGATAGGGAAGAGTAAAGGTTTTCTGAATTTTGCTTCGTTTAGCTTTCATTACGATCTACCAAATTATGATATAGCAGTTCCTCTGGACATTATCTGAACTGTATATGAGATCTCCCATGTGGACCAGGTTAAGATACAAAGGTTTTTTGAGAAGACAAAGAAGAAGAAGAAGAAGAAGAATACAAACGGCGAGGATGTGTCCGATGTTGTAAGTGCTGAACAAGGGAATCTAAACGGCAAAGGACAAGAGAAATTGAGGAAAAAAGTTACACAAATGATAAAAAAACAAAAGGTGCAGCAAGTAAGGATAATAGTTGATCGAGTAGATGATTCAAAACCCTGGGGTCAGGAAGGTCATGTTAAGGTCTGTGATGTTTATAAATTTTGTAATGCAATTTGTCTTGTTGTTCTTATTGTCGTTGATACTTTATATTGGTTATTGTACCGTACAGGTTGGATGTCGTTTGATTCAGTTGCTGATGGAAACGGCCTATATACAACCTCCGGTTGATCAATTAGACGATAGCCCACCTGATATACGCCCTGCATTTGTACACAGTCTTAAAACTGTCGTTAAAGATACACGGTAAGAAAGATTTCATCTCTGGTTTGCTGGCAAAACCACCACCACCACTTTTGATGCTATATTTGTGTCTTTTTTCTTCCCTTAGGAAGACCAGCAGGAGATATGGTGTTATTGAATGTGACCCACTTGTTCGGAGAGGCTTGGAGAAAACTGTAAGTAGAGAACAGATTTCTGTGTAACTTGTACTGAATATCATTTGGTTCTGTCTTATTCTTGTCTTTTTTTAATATTCTTTTGAGTCGAGAGTGTCCTCCAGTGAGGAATTACTAACTAATAATAATAATACTAACTTTGTTTTCTCTACACAGGCTAGGCACATGGTCATCCCCTATATGCCTATGCTAGTGCCTGCTAATAAGTGGACCGGGTATGGTATTTATTTTCCTTCCAAATAGCAAAAATTTCAACCAAGTTATAGGCTAGATCACTGATTGTAGAGTTCATTTTTCTGTTATGCAGTCAGGTTACTGGTGGTTATAAAAAAAAAAAAAACAAAAAAAAAACAAAAGAGTACTTCATCTTGTCCTTTCCCCCCCTCGAATTTATTTCTTCATTTAAATCCTTATTTGGCAGGTATGACAAAGGAGCCTATTTGTTTTTACCATCACAAGTTATGCGGACTCATGGTGCAAAACAACAGCGTGAAGCAGTTAAAAGAGCTCCTATGAAGAACCTGGAGCCTGTTTTTGAGGTCTTAAAACCTTCTTCGAATTTGTTACTTTTGTTCTTCTAGTGTTGCTTTGTGATTGCTCTTTGGTATTTGGTCATGGCTTCTCCACAAAAGTCTTCATTGGCTGATCTTCCTCGTTTCCCTGTATGTTTGCAACTCCATGAGGTCTCTTGTTTGGCATTTAATTATGATAATCTATGGTTTTTGGGTTGTAGGCCTTGGATACACTTGGAAATACCAAATGGAGGGTGAACAAAAGGGTGCTTAGTGTGATAGACAGGATTTGGTCTGGTGGAGGTTCTCTAGCTGGCTTGGTCAGCCGGGAAGATGTAAGTTGCATTTTATAGCATCTCTTTCTCCTCTACATGTATATAAACACGAGACACATCCCATATGCACATATAAATTTCCATGAATATATTCAGATGTACACAAATATATTGTGAACAAAAGAAACTCATCTTGGTTGGTAGACACATTACTTATAAGCCTTAAACTAAGATGGCTGCGTAATTCAGCACCATGCTGTAGTATTTACGAATCAGTTTCTTTTCTATATGATACACAGTTAAACACAAACGCACAGATTTTTTATTTTTTATTTTTTGAAAAAAAATATCTTTTTGAAATAGGTTCCTCTACCTGAAGAACCGGACACAGAAGATGAATTAGTGATTCGCAAATGGAAGTGGAAACTTAAAGCTGCCAAAAAGGAGAATAGTGAGCGGCCCTATTTCCTTCTCTCTCTCTCGCTCTCTATCTCTCTCTCTATTTTTGTTTTTTTTTTTTTTTTACCGCATTTGATAGATATGTTTTGAGTCTTTTTTAAAGGTTACATGTTTGTAACTATTGATTTGAATCAGGTTGCACGAAAGATGAAGGATGAGGAAGGCTTCTACTATCCCCACAATCTTGATTTCCGGGGTCGTGCATATCCAATGCACCCTTATTTGAACCATCTGGGTTCTGATCTGTGCCGAGGTATCTTGGAGTTTTCTGAGGGACGCCTTCTGGGAAAGTCAGGTTTACGCTGGTTGAAGATACATTTGGCAAATGTATATGGTGGCGGTGTGGACAAATTATCTTATGATGGTCGCATAGCATTTACTGAGAACCACCTTGATGATATATTGGATTCAACGAATAGGCCTCTCGAAGGTCAGCGTTGGTGGCTGGAGGCAGAGGACCCTTTTCAGTGCTTGGCAACATGTATTAATCTCACAGAAGCATTGAGAAGCCCCTCTCCAGAGAATGCCCTCTCACATATGCCTGTCCACCAGGTTTTTTCCCCTTCATATCTAGAACTTGTCATTAACATCTATATGGTGCATAATCGCCTAAGTCCGTAAATATTCTGACATGATGCTTTAATTTATAGAAGTAAAAATTTAAAATTTATTTGGGAATACATGAATAGTTCCCCCAAACAATAGTTTATGCTCAAATTGGAGTTCACGATACTGATTAAGTTGGACAGAGGTGAATCTCCAGGGATTAACGAGAATATAATTTAGGAAGATGGAATTGCATACTAGTATTTGAACTCATTGATCTGTTTCTTTTGGTTTTCCATATGCTACGGTCCTTCCATGTATTTGTAATTAATCATTATTGCTACAAGTCCGATGATCACGTTATTTAATTCACTGTTGAAGAAGTTGAAAGGCAACCGGAATTATTTATATCTTGATATTATATCATTTTTTTTTTACTGAGATAGAAAGTCAGAGTGATCTTTTTCTTTTTTTGTTCAACTTGCAAGGATGGTTCGTGCAATGGCTTACAACACTATGCTGCCCTTGGAAGGGACAAGGTATTTATTATACTATGAGTAAAATGTTAAATTATTGAATAAAGTCATTTTCTTGTTAATTGCAAATAATTGGAAGTTGGAACTTATGTATTTGCCGCATGTTCTTTTTCTTATTTGGAGGTTTATCTTCAATAATCAATATTCTGCATGAAAGATAGTTGCTGTCAACTAAAGCTTACGACAGAATGACCTTCTTTTTATTATGTAAATTGCGTTCTTTTTTAGCTAAACTGTTACTTTGTTCTGATTTTCCAGTTAGGAGCAGCTGCAGTCAATCTTGTTGCAGGAGGGAGACCTGCTGATGTTTACTCGGGAATTGCTGCCAGGTATGACATAATTTCATCACTGTACCTCCTAAGCGACAAAGTACAATTGCCAAGATTTGCATTTGACAGGAATCTTGGTAAATTTGAAAATGCATTTTGCCGTTTCACTGATGGGAATTTTATTTATAAGTCGTGAATTTGATCAGAGTTTGAATCATACAACTATCGGGCAAAAAGAATAAATGTCTAACTACGGTCATTACAACACAGTTATGCATGGATCCAATTGTTCATCAAATTATTCCTAAGAACTAGTATTCTAGTGGGTAAAGTTGGTTCAACTACAAAACTTTCTTCTTAATCTGTCTGATTGAAAAATGTTGTTACTTTGCAGAGTTCTTGATATTATGCGCAAAGATGCAAAGGACGATCCTGCAATGAATCCAAATGCAGTGCACGCTAGGAATTTAATCAATCAGGTTTTTGTCGGATCTCATGCTCGTACTGTAGCAATGATGTTTTGCATAAGATGGTGGAAGTAAAAATCACCTAAAACTTTGTTGATTTTTTTACGCTTGGCGTAATCATCTTATTTCATAACACGTTGTGTGACACTCTACCATGAAAGTATTCTTCGACTCAAAAGTGGTTAACTGATTATTATCTTCTTATAAAGACGAATAATTTTGTGCTAGGTGGATCGTAAGTTGGTAAAGCAGACTGTAATGACATCTGTATATGGTGTTACATACATTGGTGCCCGAGATCAAATTAAAAGGAGGTTGAAGGAACGTGATGCTATTGCTGATGATGGCGAACTCTTTGCCGCTGCTTGCTATGCAGCAAAAGTAAGCAAATAAACTGAATCTTATCTGAATTTTGAGGCATGTGTCTGTGTCTGTAAAGAGGTTTTGAATGATAGAATATTTCTGAAAAAATTGAGAATTCTATTTGTAAGCCCTGTAAACCCTTATTTTCATTCTTGACTGCATGAGCAGACTACCTTGAAGGCCTTAGAAGAGATGTTTGAAGCTGCAAGAAGTATTATGGACTGGCTTGGAGATTGTGCAAAGGTATGACTGAACTTCTTATGCCAGAGTCAAGGATAGAGATACTCAAACTATTAATAGCTTCATAAGCTAACCACATTCGTGCGAAGTAGAATTTTGATATTGATGGATGACGTGGTATATGTGTTAGGTTTCTAGGTTGTCTAGACAGTTATATCTAATCGCTCCATCCATGCATCAGTTTGTTTTTAGTGTCATTGTTTCTGTTGGTGAATTTAATATACTTTCATAATAAGCAATTCATTGGGTTTGTTTTCGTGTGCATTGCAGTCCTCTTAATTTGTAACAGCTGACATGTGTTGTACACTTGTTGCACTTATCTTTGCCTCGATTTTTCTTTGTGGCCCAGGTCTTTTAAGTTAAGGCCCTTGACACGATTTTTCTTTGTGGGCATGTGCTTTGAAGACTCCTTGTGGTGTTCATTTGTTACTGCCTAGTTTTTTTGAATGGAGTAACGGGAGAATTCATCATGATCATGTGATGTTTGTCTAGTGGGATAAGGACCTTTTACCTTGTGAACGTACACGACCTTTTACCTTGTGAATGTACACGACAAAGTGTTTTCATTGTAGATATCATACATGAGGATTCTGTTGCATTATTCTGGTCGCTGAATGTATGCTGGTAGAACGTATTATTTTTTAGTTTCTCATTAGAGTTTAATCTATGGGTTACTCATGGTTGCCACCATTTTGAAGTAATTGTCTATTCTTTGTTGGGCTACATATTTAATTAATTTTGAACATAAAAATGAACAGGTGATAGCGTCAGAAAACCAAGTAGTCCGCTGGACAACTCCACTTGGACTTCCTGTTGTACAACCATACCGGCAATCAGGAAGGCATCTTGTAAGAGTCTATTGCCTTTTTAGAACAATTTTGGCTTTATATCTCCTCTCATTATCTTAGCATTTTTTAAACTAACTAAAAATAACGTTGGGATGTCCTTAACCCACTGTCTCGATTTAAATTCAGGTTAAGACTTCCCTTCAGGTGTTGACATTACGGCGAGAAACAGAGAAGGTAGAATTTCTCAAAACCATCTTGCTTTCTGCTGTACTGATCTTTATGTACATAGTTACAGGGGTGATGTTGATGTATTGTTCTGAGTTTAATCTGGATATGAACCATTTCAGGCCCCACGCCAACTATGATTTGGTTGTTTAAGATTATCAACATAGATATTCGTCCATGCCTCTTTGCATACTTTTTTCTTTTTCCTTTTTTTTTTCAATATTGAAAATTCTTGGATTCAATTCTTGTGCAGAAAGAGTTATACTTCTTCCAACTGCAAACAATTTTTTGTTGCAACTAGAAACTCTCATCAATGATATACTATTCAATGATATACTATTCAATGATATCCTTTTCATTTTGACTAGTTTGAGTTAATCGCTATTGATGTTTTTAGGTTTTAAAGAATTTTCTGTGAATTATACAGGTAATGACAAAGCGGCAGAGGACAGCTTTTCCCCCGAATTTTGTTCACTCCCTTGATGGTTCACATATGATGATGACTGCTGTTGCCTGCCAAAAGGCAGGCTTAAACTTTGCAGGTTTGCACCAAGTTTTCATTATCTTATTTCTCCCCACTTTTCCTGTTCATCTATCTTATTGACAAGAAAGATATGCCCGGTGATCCTTACTTTATAATAGTTTAATTTCTGTGGCTAATTGCAGGAGTCCATGATTCATATTGGACCCACGCATGTGACGTTGATGAAATGAACAGGATACTGAGAGAGAACTTTGTTGAACTCTATGAGACACCCATATTGGAGAATGTAAGCATCTTTTCTTACAAATGGTTCTTTTAATGGGATTAGAAGCAGCTTTTAGAGCATTTCCAATGCAATGCTATAATTGATGTGCTAATTGTAAATTTAGCATTTGAGTGCAAAAAACACTCCAATGCAATGCTATTTGTTGTGTCAAATTTCCTATATGCTATATTTTTTGGTAAATTTTCCCACCAAGGTATATGAGAAATTTGGCATTTGATTGCTATTAGTTGAAATGTTTACTTTTTCACATAATCAATGTAACTTTTGCATTTTCTGATCATTTTAAACATAAAAGTTTGCTTTTACCACTGTCAAAGCTTAATAATTATGGGAAAAAGTAATTTAACATTTCTAATAGCATTATGCATTGGAGCAAAAATGAAAATAACTTATCACACCTTTTGATGGTAAATATACAATTGGCATTAGTATTTGCATGGTAAATATAGCATTAGTATTTGCATTGGAGATGGTCTTACATTTGTTTTTCTTAGTCTTGAGGACTTTGGGTATTTGGTATATAGATAGGAGCAAAGGGCAAAGTGAAAATTTTCTTTGGTAGGTTAGCATATGGGTATTAAACTCGCTGATAATTCGTTTTCTTTTATGTCCCCAGTTATTGGAGAACTTTGTAAAGTCTTTTCCCAAATTGAAATTCCCCCCCTTACCGGATCGCGGGGACTTTGATCTTAGAGAGGTTCTGGAATCTCCCTATTTCTTTAACTAGTCTAAGCCAGATGCTATACTACACCCGGAGTGCCCTTCTTTAACTTGTCCTAGCTCTGCTCATCACCAATAGGACGGCGATGCAGCTCGAACTCTTCTGTCCTGGGCACGAGATATCTCATTCTCCCATGTTCTATCAAGACGAAGAGGTTCAGAGAAGAAACACGATAGCTAGTTGGTGCTATCAGTCCCGTTTGTACATGTGTAAATATGTCAAGATAAGGCCATCTTGGCATCTCAACCTTGGCCGGGTTAAGCCACAGTAGTGGGCTATGTTTTCTGCACTTTGCTAGTTTAAAGCATTGGAGGGAACAAATAAGATGGTGCTACAAGCTGCATTCATCGTTACGGCTCTACCAGTATAAAAAGTGATCGAAACAGCTCTACCGGTATGAAAAGTGATTGAAACAGATTGGAACGCTAAAGGGTATAGGAAAAAATTGGTTGATGAAGCGAATTCACACAGGCGGGCCCAGGATGTGTACTTGGTTTCCATATTGCTGTACCATGTCTCCAGAAACATCAAGAGAAATACGGGATGGGAATTCACAGATTGGTCCAGGAGATTTCTGATTAATTTTGTAGAAATAGGTACTATTATTGTCCTATTTATTGTATATTATTTGGCCACCTTATTCATTCTCACATAAGTGAGCATTCTCAGACATTCTTTTTCATCCTTGTCAGTACAAAAAAGTTATTTTCAGCTCAAAGCAAAGTTTCTTATTAACGGTCAAGAAATCACAGCTTGATTGAACATAGTATTAAGTGTGTCCCACAAAAAAGTAAGGTTCCTTTTGGTAGGAGAGTTCAAATTATGGTAGTTTTGATTTTAATTTTAAAATTAGAATCATGATTTATGATTTTAAGTCTAATTATGATTCTGGAACTAGAATTAAAATCAGGGGTTTGAACTATACAAAACCAAAGGAGAGGTAGTTTTAAAACTAGAGGTGGTTTTGGTTCATAACATCACATTAAGGTTTAAATCTTGAATCAGAACAATTCAAACCAAACACTGGTTTTTAAATCTTGAATCAGAATTATTTTTTACTTTTTGCAAACAAAGATTTAAATCAGAATCATGATTCTAGAACCCTCAAACCACCCTCAAACCAAACGCTACTTAAGATTCTGTGACGTTTAAAAAAAAAAAGATTGGTAAAATGACTGTACAATATTGATAAAAAAATCATGGAATTCAATTTAAGAATTTGAAACGACAATTGTATAAAGAATTGCAAAAAATAAAAATAAAAAAGAAATATAATACGGCACTGATATAGTCTAAAACACTACGGTACACCAAACATGCATTATCCTAAAGGGAGAAAGAGGAAAATAGGCCAATAGTTTACATAAGTTAATAAATAGGCTAAATTACTGTTTTCGTCCATAACTTATCTGGTTATGAACCATAACTTGACAAGTTTGTCCATAACTTATCTGGTTATGAACCATAACTTGACAAGTTATGGCCTATTAATTTTTATAATTAAAAGTTGGCCTATATACTTTCTTAAGCTTTTCATATTGGCCTATTTCTTACTATTTTCTTATCCTAAATATACTACCAAGGGCTTGGCAAAAAGCCCATGCTTAAAATAACATAAAAAGTTAAGAAAAAATGGAGATGAATCTGGACTTTTATATTTTATTCTTGATAATATCATTTTATTAGTATAATTATTTGACTTAAAAGGTTATGAATCAAGAGGAAAAAATAAAAATCTTGATTCATGTACTTTCAAAAATATTTGTCAAAATTACTCTAAAAGTTTTTTGAAAAGAACACAATTTAATAAATAAGTCCTAAAAAACTATACTAATGAGTATAGTCACCTATTAATGAAGTTTCATCTCTTCAATGAAACTAGACTCTTTGGATATACATATGCACGAATTGTATGTAGCCATACCGATCCTCGAATCGATAGTTTCCGAGACTTTTGCGTACAAATGTTATATGATACGATTTGACCATCTCTAGTTTGCATTTACAGCTCATCATCCTTCCAAAATGCTAGAGGGGGAATAGACACATACTAGTGGCCCAATTGTGAGATGCTTGGTCCAAGCTCTCAACCATCACCCACATTTCAAAAGCTGTTAAATTGCACGAGTTTTCCGTCGAGATGAGAAAAACTAGAGACTCATTCCACACAGCAAGTTTCCACATTTTTCCTCTCAACTTTTTTGCATACTGTGGCAATTATACGCAACTAAATTCCTCTTCAGAAAAGTCAAATGAAAGAATCATAGATCGTGTTTAGAATTGATCTCATTTTTATTTTTCACATTTTTCAAGAAAAAAATGAAAACTTTTTTAAAACGGTATTTGTGCAATAAAAATAAAAAACAGAAATGAAAACGATTTTTTAGTTTAGTGTAAAATGAGAGAGAAATGAAAAATAACTGTCGTTTTTTATTTTTTATTTTCGTTTTCTTCTCTCTCGAAAAGAGAGAGAGAGAGACATTAATGGATTTTTTTATACTAAAAATAATCTCTTGATAAAACTACCAAACGCATTTTTAAAAATAATTTATGTCTGAGATTAAAAACGTTTTCATTTTTATATAAAAAATAAAATCATTTTAAAATAAATTTCAAACCCGCACAGTCTCAAAATCTTGCAAACCCTCTGTGGTACACCCCATTGTCAACACCAGCATTTACCTTTCAAATCAATATTAACTTCCCTCCAATAATCAGTTCCGAAACAACAGACCATAGCTCTATTTGCTTCAGCATGTAATGTAGAAGAAAAAAGCTTAAGACATTTGTAATCATTGGCTTTTGGATCATACCCAAATCCAGCTCCTGAAAACATGAACCCAGAGGGTGAAAAATGTCCGGAGAAGCATGAATTCTCCAAGTTCTGGATTGCACAGAACAAACACCCCATTCTTAACAGAATGGCGATCACAAAAGAAAATAATTCCATTACAGGGAAGGAGAGCTTAATAAATTCACTGGAAAATCTGCTCTCTCTGTTTCCGGATCAGGTGGGAAATTGATTTCTTCAATAACATAAGGAAGATGGTCACTATCACTGTAATCTTCGTCGTCGATTGTAACCGCTGACAATGCTTGTTTTAGACAAAGATCTGTGTCCTGACTGCTGAAGGATTCATGCAATGATGGGTCGTTCTTTTCCCAGGTGACGAATAAGGTTACGGATGATGGATGTTTGTTGTTGCCAATACTGAAATTGAGTTGCTCGTCTATAAATTTAGGATTATTTATCGTAACGTACCACAACTTGCAAACGCCTTTACAGCTTTTTAGAGACTTAGGAGGCACCCTCATCAAGATTTCCTCCAAGACATCTTCAGGCAGATGAAATAAGCTCGCCATTTCTGCAGTTTCAAATTAATTCTTAACTAATTCAACATCAAAACTCTTAAGAGGCAAGGCAAATTGCAAAAATATTAGCTAAAAGCCAGTATCATAAAAGGAGAGCAGGAAAGCAGAAATATTACTTCCAAAGCCTCATCCTTTCATTTTTGTTTAATTCCAGGGAATTAATCCCATATTATATTACACTAAAAAAATTAAAAAATAAAATAAAATCCTAGTTCGAATTCCCCTTCCCGAACTAAATTATCTTGTCTGTAATCTCAATATAGTCAGATAGACTATATCATAAATATGCATTCATATATATATATATATATATGAAGAAGAAAAACAAACTAATTGGTTTATCGCCTATAATTGAATTAATGAAAAAAAAAAGTTATTCTATGCAGTTACTCAATTGTCGAGCATGAAGTCATGAACTAGTAATATTCAATAACTTAATAGATAAATTCCTAATAGTTTGTAAAATAAACTGATATTTCGAAACAAAATAAGACAGATAATGCTTGCGATAGAGAATCACCTTTATTACGGTGCTTCATCGGAGGTTCTCTTCAGAAACTTGACAGCTCAAAGTTGTTATCTTTTGAGAAATCCTTCCGTTGTCAGATGCGAACTTCAGATTACAGCATCAAGGTTCTTTTTGGTATGTTGAAGGTTAAAGTGCTTACCAGTTCGGAATTGGCAGAAAGCAGTAAGAGAAAATAAATATAAATAGTCGCTTTAAGTTTGTTTATTTCACCGATTTGAGTTTTTAATTTTAAGGCCGTGTTTAGAATTGATCCCGTTTTTTATTTTCACGTTTTTTGAGAAAGAAAAAATGAAAACTTTTCTAAAACGGCATTTGGTGCAATAAAGATAAAAAACGGAAATGAAAACGATTTTTTAATTTAGTATAAAATGAGAGAAAAATGAAAAACGACTTTTAGTCGTTTTTCATTTTTTGTTTTCGTTTTTACATCTCTCGAGCAGAGAGAAAGAGATAGAGACATTAATGAGTTTTTTATATTAAAAATAATCTCTTGATAAAACTACCAAACGCATTTTTAAAAATGATTTCTGTTTGAGATTAAAAACGTTTTTATTTTTATTTTTATACAAAAAATAAAATCATTTTAAAACGAATTCTAAACGCGTTCTAAGTTTTTACATTTAATTTTTTCTATTATAATTAAAAGTACTAAAAAAAAATCACATTTCAATTTAAATTAAAAATTTTAATTCATAAAGTGAATGAGACCGTAAATTTTACCGTGGTTAATCAAGAAAGCACACCAGGAGAGAAAGATCGCCCAGAGAGAACTGCAGCGAGATAGGTCACAAATGACGGCTATAATAGTATTGAGATCTCGGGCGTGGGGGTGATGAGAGGCTTCTAAGTTAAAAGTCACAAAAAATAGTTTTTTAAAAAGTACTTCTAAATATATTTTAAAATTTGTACCAAAGTTTGCATTATTTTTGTTTATCAGTTTGACAACACGTCTTTACACGTGAAAATAACCGAGAGAATTTCTATGTTTATTTTAATTATTTTAAAGTATTGAGCTTCAATTCTAATTTTTTTTAAGATTTATTTTTGAATAGCTTGTCAAAAAAAAAAAAAACCTAGTTGTGCGTCGCACATAATTAGTTATAATTTAAGTTTTTATAACGTAAAACACAAACAACAATAAGCAGACAAAATTTTTACTTAAGAGTTTAAAAAGAAAATACATTTAGTGCCTCATAACTTAAATCACAACTCAAATTTTATTATTACAGTATTTATTCTCATAAAAATTTAAATTTAATTTTTTTGTTATAATGTTTTTCTCTCACATACACAACTCAAGTTATTACTTAAGTTGTGAAATGAACATACCCTAAGTGGTAGTATGTCTGTTCTAACGAAAATTACAAACCTAATTCTACCACAAAATGTAGAGTTTGAATCTCCCACATAATTTTTTATTTTTTAAAGAATTATACTTTAATAGTAAAAAAAAATGTTAAATTTAATTATAGAAATACATGAAACATTCTTAATGATAAGATAAAAAAGTAAAAAAAAAAAAACTAAAGAAATGCATTGAAACTTAAAAATGAAAGGAAAAATGTAAAACACCTAAAAACTTACCGTTTTGAACCGTTATAGAATGAACATAAATTATGAAATAACAAAATAATAAAATAAAGATAAACTTAAAGATGAAAGGAAAAAAAAAATAAAGCACCTAAAACTCACTGTTTTGAACTACTATAAGATGAACAACATTCAAATATCTATTCTTTGATATAATTTAGATTAGGATTAGGATTCAGGATTTAACACGTATAGAAAATAAGAAAAGAAATAAGGAGATACAAAAAATAAAGCATAAAAAATGTTATAAAAAGCAAAAGAAAAAAAAAAAAAAGAGTTAAAAGAAAAGATTAAAAAAAAGCAAAGAAAAGAGAGAGGGAAAAAAAAGAAGTATGAAAATGGTGCGTAAATGAGTACAAAAAATGAAGGGTATAGTTTTCACACTCTTTTATATCTGAAGAGTTTATTATTTATTGAATAATGACAAATTCATTTATACAACCATTTAAGGATTTTTTAAATTTATTTTTAAAAAATATGTGTAAAGATAACAATTGACAAAAAAATTAAGTAGGGACACATTTAAAGAAAATTATTTTAACCAACCAAAAATAAAATAAAAACACATGCGAAAAAATTACTTTTATAGGAGTACTCAGTAGAGTGGGGAACATCATATTTAAAAAAAAAACACACACACACACAAAATTAAAATGTAAAAAAAAAATCACAAAAAAATGAAGATAAAAAAATAAAAATGAACTAATTGGTCGCAACCCCATATGAAAAAGCTTTGACTCTTTTATGTATTGTTAGATTTAGCATTTACTAGTTGGATAAGATATAATTTAGCATTAATATTATGATAAAAAGTGAAAAAAGTTAACATATAATGTCCATAATCTTCGTGATTTACTAACAATTCGTTTTTCTTTTATTTCAAGTGTTTGAAAAGGGAAAAAAAAGTAAACAAAAAGATTTGAAAAAAGCAAAGCACCAAAACCATTTCTCGAAAGAAAAAAAAGCCAAAACGACCCGTTTTAAATGATTAAAAATGGAATAATAGAGCCATGATGGGCTCTTCTATATGTAAGATAGTGGTTGACAAGGCTGGGAAAAATTAAGTAGGGGCATATTCTTAGAAATTTATTTTTGTGAGACAATTAGAATGAAAATTGTGATCATAACTTTTAATATAACAATATTTTATAGCACTATTGGAAAGAAATATCTAAATAGGATAAGATTCGAAAGAAAAATTAAGGTCTTGTTCACTTTGCGGATTCGAATTTTCAATTCAAGCTGAAATGTGACATTTTCTGAGAGCTTTTCACTGTAGTAGAAAAAGTTAGATGTGACATTTTCTGAGAGCCTTTTACTGTAAAAATCTAAAACTGAAAATTCAAATCGGTGAAATGAACGAGGCTTAGAGTAAATGAAAGGAAAAAAACAAAAATTGAAAAAGAAGAGCAAGAACAAAAAGAATATAAAATTTTGGGGAAGAAAAGAAAAAGGAAAAAGAGAACATAGGGAGCTAAACAAAAGTCAAAACAAGAAACAAAAAAAGGAATAAAAGAGTCATGAGGACTCTTTTATATATTTAGGATAATAATTGTCGAGAAGGCTGTGAAAAAAATAAATAGGAGCATATTTTTAGAAATTTATTTTAGTAGGATAATTAAAAAAAATTCATGAGAATAACTTTTAATGTATTGATATTTTAGAGCACTACCAGAAACAAATATTTAAGTAGATTAATATTTGAAAAAGAAATTCAATTGGGATAAATGAAAGGAAAAAAAAGGGGAAAGTAGCCAAAGAAAAAACCCATCAAAAGCGAGAAAAAAAAAAGAAAAAGAAAAAAGAGTCAAAACGTTCGTTTTGGACGACCAAAATGCACAGTGTCTACATATTGATTCTTTTATTATATAGCGAAAAGTTGTGAAATTGCAAATTTGGACTTTGATACTTTTTTTTTTAAAACGAAAGTAACAAAAACTATGTTAACCTAAACAAACGGTGGTTAGATAATTAGATCTGAAATGATAAAACTTTGAATTGAAATAAACTACATGAAGAAAATTTCTTAAATGTCCCTTATATTATTTTGAAATTTCTCATTTTCCCTCTTATTATAGATTTATAGACGATAGATTATAGAAATATATGTATAATTAAAAGTAGCATAAAAGATCCTTGACCAATAAAATTTTATTAAGAAATTAAACTATCCTTATTAATACGTATTTTATTTTAAACAACATTTTACTAAAAATTAAACAGCATAACTTCTAAAACTTTAAAAATTCACTAAAATTAAATAAATTGTTCAAAAAGACTAAAAGTCTGAATATTTTAAAAATAATTTTTTATTTAATTTTTTGTTTATTATGCTGGTGTCCTAAAAGCATGAGATGTAATAGAATATTTATTATTAATTTAATAAAATAGTTTATTCATTATTTTATGCGCATATATTATTAATATTTTATGAATATCACTGAAAATTCTATGATTATTTATATGACCTTAAATATTGTATATAAATGTTATATGCGAGATGATAATATTTAAAGATAATAATCAAAATGATGTTCGTAATGAATTTAATTAAGAAACAGTTATACAAATTTATTGATTCTGTACTCTGATGAATTTACTGTTTTCGTCCCATTTACGTTAAGTCGCTCGAGATTGAGAGCAAGATATAGATGCTGTTAATTTAGCTTATAGTTTAAATGACAATTCAAAACTTCTTGTCACAATGTTCTCTCAAAATGTTCAAATTTTATATTTAAACCTATAGACGAAACATGCCAATAGTTCGCAGGATTTTGGGGTTCTAATTCCCTAAGACCATAAGAGACTCCCATTTCGCGATCTCCATGTTTCAATGAATCCCGCACGAGCTCAGAAAGGTTGGGCCACCAATTGCAACAGGTTTATGCATGTTATTTACAAAGTACTTAGCTTTTTGTTTTTTGTTTTGTTAATGGTGGTAGGCAGTGCGAAGGAAGTCGGAAGCTTTTATAAAACATCACACGAGCTACATGTAAAAGATAAATAAATCATCAAAAGAAGAAATGAGAATAAATTGTTTATTACATTATTAATCAGCATAGAATATAGCAATTTCCATCGCAATTTTGTTGTTAACTACACCCTGCCATTATCATAACATTTTCATTTCATATCTTCATAATTCAATCTATACATTCTTTCATTCTCAACTCTCAAGCATTCCCTTAAAACAAAGATGACCCTTTCTTGTATATACAACAATACATAACGCCTCATAAAAGAGATGTTGGCATCTTCTCAGGTAGAGCTTAATTTGTGTTAGTAAACATTCTAATGTTAATCTCCTTGAGTTCTTGTTAACATGAGAATGCATCATTTCATGAAGTTTGGTTGTGTGTAATATATGGGCCACCATAGAGCTCTTTAGCACAAAATTTACAACAAAGAGGATAATCAAATCAAGGGTCAACTTTCACATGGCTAGGCCGGTAGAGACCCTGCAAATGCAGCAGACGAGAAGACATATCATAACCAAAAATAAAAGAAAAAAAAGATCTCATAGAAATATCAGACAAAATTCTTACAAGGAGCCAAAAAAAAAAAAAAAAAACCAACTATACCATCGACATAGTGGTTATTATTAGGAGAATTTCTGGTTTCAAACCTCATTTAGGCGACATTGTTAACCTCATCTGCCCACACATTTGGTAGCTGCAGTCAAAAGTATCCTATGTAAGGTTATTTGCAGAAAACAAGACAATGCAAATAGAAACAAGTGCTACTCAATGGAAAACTTTTTTTGTCCCAATACCCATGTGCACCTCACAAGTGGGCCTACTTTTGTGTCTGAAATAGGAGTGCTCCTACTTAATATATAAGATGCCATTCTAATTGTTTATGAACACCAATGTTGTACAAAATTTTAAACTTAATGCCAATGTCTCACAAACCTTCTGAAAAATGCTAATCTAAACCTATTTTTGCATTGAAAGTTCAAACTGTAACTAAAAGGTACCTGAGTAGATTCCTTTATTCCTCCGGGCAAAGGTGTCAAGTGAGAACTAATTGTTTGCCGAGGTATGTCTGAACAGAAGAGCACCCCATTTGGGAAGGCCTGCCTGAATAAGCTGCCGTTGCTGCGTGCATTGTAGTTGAGGATAATCCACAGGCATTTCTGGAGAAAATAGTAGAAAAGATGAAGAACCGGTCCGGGACTGAAGCCTCTGTAAAGAAACGTAGTGTAAAGGGAAACTAGAGAGGGAAATCTTGATCCACTAGTTGGTTGCTGACACGCGCGGATTATAGCATAGAAACTTGTATCTTTTGCAAGGAGCCCTTCAAGGTTAAAATCTAGACGTGGCTTTACTGTTTCAAGCTTCATCAATAAAAGCTGTAACAACAAAAGTTGGATTATAAGTATCAGATACAATTTTTAACAGATCATGAGCACAAAACTTCCAAGCATAAATGCGAATCGCCCAGAAATCCAACAACTTATCTGAGGCTTTACATTGTAATATTAGCTAAATATTTATCCACTTTTATATCTGTGCATATAGCAAGGTCTAAAAGAAACCATTGAACGTTATAATGAATGACCATCCAAATGTATATCTATATAGATACATATATTGCCATGATACACAAATTTTTGATGCTAGAGTTTAGCCCAGCAAGATTTTTTGAAATGTCAACATATGAGAGAAGGCATGACAGTTCTTATATGAAACATAGTGGGAAAACAAATTCTTAGAAGAAATGCAGAAATGGAAATCCCATACCTCAACCTGACGTTGCGGTGATTGTATATAGCTAATGATTTGAACCAACATCATTGCCTTACCACTTACCAGTGACCTGCAAACATCATATTCAATGCTACCAAAAATTTTGACAAGTCATAAGAGTGCTAATACTAATGGTTATTTTAAAAAAAAAAAAAAAAAAAAAAATCACCTTGCTGCATCCAGGTACGAGGTCCTGAAGAAACTTCCTCCTCTCGCTGATCTTTTCCGGTTTACCTATAGCCAAGAATCAATTAGCTCTATTCCAGACTTCCACATGTGTATTTAAGAGTTTTCATGAATTCAACTAAAACCAACTTCACGCTTAAAATCTCTCTCTCTGCAAGACTATGGCTATTTGCCGCCTACTCGCCTGGCCTCTTCGAGATCTGGCCTGAATGTATTCTTCTTTTGTAGGTTCTGAAGCTTGAAACCCTTGTTTTCCACGTTTTCCACTAGTCTTGTTGGTAGTTGCACTTTCTGATCTCCTTTCTGTTGAGGTTCAGTATTATTTCTTTGTTGATTCACCATGTTGTTGTGAAGCTCCTTTGGCTCGATCAAGATCAGAATCCTTTCGCTAACATTCGGAAAAGGCAATGCCTATTTTACACATTTAAGGAGGGTTTCAAAACCATGGTTTACCGCGGCATTTCTTTTCCTTTTCTTCAACAGCCTCCAACATTGACCACCCCGAGTTGCTCCTAGTAGATCAAACAGTATCTAAACAGAATTAGAATAACAAAAGGGCGGGGTAATAAAAGAAACATTCAATTAAAATGAAAAAAAAAAAAAAAGCGCAAGTTTTTCTAATGTTTGAAACTTAGAATAGAAGGAAAATTGGTCTCACAGACATTCTATCAAAAGCATAATCCACGTGTATGTACCGAAAAGGAACAACAACAAGGATCACAGGAATTAAACAGCTAACATTTCCAAAGCCAAAAAACACAACTTTTGAAGTACCAACTACTCACTTACTTGCACAAAGAAAACTCTCCTAAGACAAAGAAACTAAAAAAGACAGTTCAAAGAAGCAGTCAATTATAACAAACAAAACAATTATTGATTTTCAGATTAAAAAAAATAATTATTGATTTCAGCAAAATAAATACCCATTTCAGATGAAGAACCAATTAAAAGTAGGCAAGAGAGATAAAAGGATACCCATTTCAGATTCTGTGCTACTTTTGGTAGTCTGCCCTCCGTTCAAGCTGCTTCTTTTTTTTTTTCAACTCAGACAAAAAAAAAAAAAAAACTTTAATTCAACTTCACCCTTTCCTTTTTTTTTTGGCTCGGGAAAACTGCGTTCCTGTAAATATTACAACACTGTCGCATCCCATATAAAGAGAGAGAAGTGGTTACATGTAAAGCAAGGATTTTTCAGTTTTCACCAATGTAGACAGAAAAACTGGTTTTTTTTTTTTTTTTTTTTAGTACTGGCAATGCCAACTTTGAGCTTAAGGCTTTATTTACTTATTTATTTTTGGTATGCTGCGGGATAATTTCAATGTGACATCTGTATTACAATGAAATTGCCTTTTAATACACTGTTTCTTTAATAGTTTTAAATTAGTAGCTTTATATAGTATTGATTTTTAACACAAGCTGGATTTTTAACCCGAACTTCTCTAAAGAGGAATTTCATAGCATACAATTGCCGCATCATGCCCAAAAATGTAATAAGCAAATGTGGAAGCTTGCTGTATGGAATGAATCAGTAGTCTTTTTCATCTCCACCGGAAACTTGTACCATTCAACATCTTTTGACATGTGGGTGATTGTTGAGAACTTTGGTGGCGTTCAGGGTTTTACATATTGGACCAAACATCTTACAATAGGGCCATTAGTATAATTGTTTTTTTTTTTTTTCCATTAGTTTTTTTTTCCCCCTTCATCAACCGCTGCCCTTATAATTGTTTTTTTCCTATTGCGCGCATTCTTTTATTTTTTATTTTATTTTTCCTTTCAGTTTATGAGTTTACAATTTTTTTTTTATGGGTTACATCTTTTTTATTTCTTTTATTTTGGGGATTCTTTTTAATTTTTGTTTTTGTTAAACTATAAATTACTAATTATTAAAAAAATCTAGATAAATGCGTAATTTTTGAAGAAAAAACTTCCACACCCAAATCTTTAAAATCTGTAACGTGTTTGAAAGTATTTAAAAGTTGTTTGTTTAATTCGTTAATTTAAAATTTTAATTTAAATTAAAATACGAGTTTACGTGAAAATTTTTTATTATAATAAAAAAATTAAATATAATTATTTTTAAAATTTTTTTATTATAATAAATTTTAAATTTTAAATTTAAATTAGTGAAATGACAGTCATCTTCTTACGGAAACCCTAGATTCCGCCCCCCACCACCACGGAGATCTCTGTCGCCGCTGTCGTCTGTGGTCTCTTCTCGGTACAGTTCTATCGGGGCGATCTTTTTGTCCTGTTTCCAGTCGGCTTTCTCGACTAGCCACTGCGGAGTTTAAAAGCAGCCATATTTACTTATTTATTAATTTATTGCTCTTCTTACCGATATCTGCCAAATCCTAACTAGTAAGCGCTTAAACCTTGATGAGTTATATGTTTTCTGTTTTGGCTTCTTTTTTCCCTCTATGTTTGACCTTAAACATGCTTTATGTAATCTGTAGTGGAAGGATTTCTCAAAAGTTATGAACTTTGTTCTGTGTTTAAGCAAAAGTTTCTGAAAAGAACCTGCCATCAAGCATGGTAATAAAGACATTATCTACTCTTTTTTTTTTTTAAATGTCAATTTATTCAACCAACTTTTCGAAACTCGTCAAATAAGTTAGTGAATATTACTACTTCCTCCTCGATAATTGAAAAACTACATGGAATAATTTATTTTTTCCTGTAATATGCTATTCAATCATAGGCTATCAACCAGTTAATCATTTATTGTTCTTCATGATTTACGACTTATTACATTGAGATTACAGAGAAGATAGGTTAGTTAGGGAAGTGGAATTCGAACCACGTATATGCAATCTAATATGGGATTAATCCCCATTCATTGTGAATTAAAGATAAAGAAATATGAAACGATGAGGATTTGGAGGTAATTTCCTGCTTTTATTGACACTGCTCTGTTTATTCAGTTCTTAATGCTTTCTTAATTATAATAAGCCAAAAGTGAATAATTTGAATGTAACTTGTTTATGATACTGGCTTTTAGCTAATACTTTTGCAATTTGCCTTCTTGGATTTTGATCTTGGATTAAATAAGAATTAATTTGAAACTGCAGATGATGAGCTTACATAATCTGCCTGAAGATGTCCTGGAGGAAATCTTCTTGAGGGTGCCTCCCAAGTCTCTGAAAAGCTGTAACGTTATTCGTCATGTGGGAAACATCCATCTTCTGTAACGTTATTCGTCATGTGGGAAAAGAAATCCTTCAGTAGTCAGGACACATATCTTTGTTTAAAATAAGCATCGTCAGTCGTTACAATCCACGACAGAGATTGCAGTAACGATGGCCACCTACCTAGTGATATTGAAGAAATCAATTTCCCACCTGTTCCAGAGACGGAGAAAGCGGATTTTCTGGCGAATTTATTAAGCTCTTCTTGTAACAGAATTATTTTCTTTTGTGATCGCCATTCTGTTGAAAACGAGGTGTTTGTCGTGTGCAATCCAGAACTTGGAGAATACAAGCTTCTACGCACACCTTGTCTTTCGCCCTTTGAGTTCTCATTTTCAGGAGCTGGATTTGGATATGATCCAAAAGCTAATGATTACAAATGTGTGAAGCTTTTTTGCTCTATGTCTCATGTTGAGGTAAATAGAGCTACGATCTATTGTTTTGGAACTGATTCTTGGAGGGAAGTTAAGATTGATTTGAAAGGTAAATGCTGTTATGTCGACAATGGGGTGTATCACAGAGGTGTTTATTATTGGTGGAATATTGTTACGCCACATAAAGATTATGGGGCTATGGTTCTTTCATTTGACTTTTCTGAAGAGGAATTTCATTGCATACAATTGCCACAACATGCCGAAAAAGTGTAAAAAAAGGCGGATTCTAGTGCCAAAGAGGCTCCCGTACTATGACAGGCTCGGGGAAAAGCTCAATCCCATATGTACGCGGCCTTACTCCTCGAAGGAGAGGCCGTTTCCGGGATTTGAACCTTGGACCCCGGGTGCAAACGCAAGCACTCCCACCACGATGCCAAGGCCCGCCTTCAACATGCCGAAAAGTGTAATTGAAAAAAATGGAAGCTTGCTTTATGGAATGAATCAGTAGTCTTTTTCATCTCCCCAGAAAACTCGTACCATTCCACGTCTTTTGAAATGTGGGTGATGGTTGAGAACTTTGGTGGCGTTGAGGGTTTTACTTATTGGACCAAGCATCTTACAATAGGGCCATTAGTATGCGTCTATTCTCCTCTAGCATTTTGGAAGGATGATGTGCTGTTAATGCAAACTAGAGATGGTCGAATTGTATCATATAACCTTCGTACCAAAACGTCTCGGGAACTTCCAACTCATGGTTCGGTGTTGCTACGGACAGTTGATGCTTTTTTATATCCAAAGAGTCTAGTTTCATTGAGGAGTGGACACATGATAAATCACTGATGAGACTCATTAGCGTAGTCTGTTGCAGCTGCATGGTTCTTGCGACTTATCTATTGAAATATGTAATTTTTTCCTAATTAAGTTATGATTTACTATAGCAGAACACGAGTTGGCTTACCACCCTGCCAAGCTCTCGGCGGTGTATTTCTGATAGTTTGTGCCTTTATATTGTGTCTAAGATTGCTACTTGTTGATGAGGTCCATTGTTAGAAAATCGACCACAATTGACAGTGATCTGTGAAAATATTCTGTATATTGCACTGTGAGATATGAAGACTTTTTTTTTTTTTAATATATATATATAAAGAAAAACTTAACTAGAAGAGTCAACAACTAACAGTCTTTTGATAGCTTTTGCTATATCAAGGTAATGATTTGAAACTTAGAACCTTCACACACCGCACAGTGCATCGAAAGCAACCAGAAAAAGATTGTCTAGCAAAAAAATAAAAATTTAAAAAAATTAAAAAATTTTAAAAGAACCGAATTAAAAGAAAAAACAATTTGTTTGACGTATCCTTATCATTTTGCTTCAATACAGCATAACTTAATTCCAAATTTGTTACCATCTCTACCTGGAAACATGTTAAAGCATTAAACAAGCTTTTATCCTTTTTTACTCTCTCTTAAACAAATTGTCTAAAGCTTTTATCTTTTAGCATTAAACAATTTATCTAAAACTTTTATCTTTGATCTCCCTCTCCTTCTCTCTCTCTCTCTCAAACAATTTGTCTAAAGTTTTTATCTCTCTCTCTCTTTCTCTCTCTCTTCTATGAGCCTTAAGGGCTTGTTCTTTTGAAATTTAACTTGAGTATAATTCTTGAATTAAATTTGAGTTATAACTTGAGTTGAACTTGTAACTTGAGTTTGTATTTAGTTGTGTACATTTGAGTTATGGTTTGAGATAAGAAGCTTTTTGAGTTTGTGTTTGAGTGAGTCAAAACTTGAATTTGTATTTAGATAGTATTTTAATAAAAACTCAATGCTGATGAAAAATTTTAATAGGGTATATGGGTCGGGTTTTATTCGTCTTTTCGTTGTCAACGTATAGAAAAAAAATCATCTCAATCAGAATTAAAACGAAAAAGTTATATTATTTTTAAGAATAGAAAAAATATTGTTCATTAATTTGAGTTTGAGTTTCTGAACTCGAGTTGAAGGGAAAACTTGAACTCGAGTTTTAGTCCTAAACTCGAGTTTGAACTCGAGTTTAAACTTAAAAGAACATGAACTCGAATAAAGTTGTAACTCGAGTTGCATTTTTTTGAGTTTTTCACACAAAAGAACAAGCCTTAAATTTGTATCTTTAAGTGCGTTTGGTTGGGTGGAAAGAAAATGAATAGAATAGAATGAAATTCAAATATGATGTTTGGTTGGGTGGAAAGAAAATGATTAGAATAGAATGAAATTCAAATATGATTTTTGGTTGGATTTATAAAAAAATGAATGGTCATTTATCTATTTTAAGTGAATCATTATTCCTTCCTCACATGTGAGGAATAACCATTCCGAACTATTTTCTTCTTTTCTTTCGTAATTATCCTTGAATATTATAATATAATTACAACATATTATATAATAGTTAATTATATTTTATAATTGTAATATAATATAATATATAATAAAAATATTATGATATAATATAATATAATTTATAATATAGTTATAAATTATTATATACTTATTTAATATTTTATAATAATATATTATAATGTAATTATATCTTATAATATAATATATAATAATATTACAATATAATATATATAATATAATATAATTGTAATATTGTAACAAATAATATCATAATTATATTAATAATTCAAATATTATTATTTTATTATATAATATTATATGATATTAATATAATTATAGTATATTATATTAGTAATAATATAATAATTAATATAATTAAATATTAATATAATTTTATAATTCTAATATTATTATCAATTATAGTTTATTAAACACTTTATGACTACATGATGTATTAATTATAATAAATTTATTTAATGTAATATAATATTAATTATATATTATATTATAATATAATATAATATAGTTGTAATTTTTAATTATCTTATAACTGAAATATTATTGTTTCTTATATAATATTATGGTATGTTTTATGATAATATAATTATATTAACTATTTTGATAATATTATTATATTCCATATCATAATTATATAATATAATAATAATTATATCGTATTATATTAAATATATAATATATTATATTGTAATTATAACATAGTTGTATATTATATTATAGTTGTATATTAAATGAAGAGTAAATTATAAGGGAGAAAAAGGAAAGAAAAGAGAGTGAAAGTTTTAAAAATAAAACCAGCTTTACAAATCATTAGCAGCAGAACAAATTTTCTTTCTCATCACAAATTCAAAAGTTTCTCCTGCCAAAACATCCTCAACTTCCTTTTTATGCAAACCAAATATAAAAACTAAGTGAAAACTAACCTGCCACATTTGCAACTTTCACGTTCCATTTAAATGAAGAGTAATTATAGGGGAGAAAAAGGAAAGAAAAGAGAGTGAAAGTTTTAAATATAAAACCAGCTTTATAAATCATTAGAAGCAGAACAAATTTTCTTTCTCATCACAAATTCGAGTCTCTCCTGCTAAAACATCCTCAACTTCCTTTTTATGCATGTCGTCCCTTTTTATGGGATCTATCCTCCAGACTATTGTATGTGTTATTTCACTTCGCAAGCTGGAGCAGTGACAAAATTGTTTGCTTAAAATTTCTAATTTCGATCGATATTTAATCACTCATTAATTCCAAGGATCATTCTCTGTCCTGACTTCAGAAGGCTCGACCACTTCTGTCTCCACGGCTTCACTGGAACTTGCACTGGCATCAGGTTCGGCTGCCTCTGCATTCTCCTCTTCCAATCTACCCCATCTTCCTCCAAGGGCCATCGCCATCATCTCGTATATCTTGTTTCCCAGCTCTGCTGGGCTGTCGGGCTGCAAGACCAAATGGCAAATTATGAATGATACATATTCAACATGAAATTGGGAAATATAACACAAGTGGATAAGTATTTTAATATCTTACAGAGAATCCACTCGAGATCAAGGCTGTATCATAGAGGAGATCAACGGCTCTCTTTGCATCACTGCTATCAGGGGCATTCTTGCACGCAGCCTGCAATAGAAATACCACTTGAAGTTAATAAGTTGACTTAAATTTCAAATTCACATGTCAAGTCCCTTGTGCCAAATTTATAACAAGGTTATATGTGACAATCGTTAGTCCGTCGTTATGCAGCGTTCTTAAAGTTAACTATCTCTCTCTCTCTGACATTCTTGAGTTTTGATTAAGTTGGTAATAACAAAGCTTTGTCAAAAACTAATAAGTGCAGAACTTAATAGCTCACATTCAAGTCTTTAATGATGGGATGGTCTGGATTTATTTCCAGTATTCTCCTCCCCCTCATGAACTCCAAACTAGAAGTATCTCCAAGAGCCTGTGCTTTCATCAATCTGCAGAAGAGATTAGATAAACATTTTGATCAGAAGCCTAAATAACTAAAAATATACGAGCTTAAATCCACAACACTGTCCACGACTAACCTTTCCATATTGGCAGACCAACCAAACTTGCCAGAAACAAGCACACACGGAGACGAGCTCAGACGCTTTGAGATTTGGACTTTAGCCACCTTGTCACCAAGTTGCTGCTTTACCCAATCACAAAGAAGATTGTATTCCTGTTTGGTTTCCCTTTCTTTTACTTCATCCTCATCACCTAACAATTTTAAAAATTTTCTTGAGAAGCATGTATATAGAAGCAACAGGAAGGGAAAGCCACTGTTTCACATGTTTCAGAAATGTGTATATAGAAAAACGGCACCAACCAAGCTCTAGATCTTCCTTGCTAATGTCAACAAACTTCTTTTCTTTGTAGGTTTGCAGGTTTTGGATGGCAACTTCATCAATGGGCTCAATCAAATACAACACCTAAGTGAAAAGAATTGCATCAATTAACCAGGGTAGCAAAGCTCACATAAAATCAGCAGTCTCGTTTAATAATCTCATCAAAAACAGTAATAAAAAAGTGTAATGAATTTTTCTTATTGTTAGTATAATTCAATATGGTGTTTAGAAGAGGAGAGAAACTGAAACTACTCTAGTGATGGTTTAGTCTTGCAAAACACATACCTCAATATTTTTCTGAACCAACTTCTCCAGGAATGGAGCAGACTTTGCACTTTTCAGGCTGTCCGTTGCCAAATAATAAATTGCCTTCTGGTTCTCAGCCATATTTTCAACATAGTCATCTAAGCTTGTCAGCTCCTCCTCATTCTTTGAAGAGTAAAACCGCAATAGTGGCGTAATGCGTTTGTGGTTTCCAGTATCCTCAATGCATCCTAACTTTAAAAATCTGCCAAAGTTCTCCCAGAATTTCTTGTAGTCCTGTAACCAAGTTCAATTATTCAGCATATCTTCAAGTTAATAACTAACCGTCACGAAGACGAAAACCATAAAAACAATTTTATTGCCATCCCTGACCTCTTTACTCTCGCTTTCAGAGATCTCTTGGATCATGTCAAATGTCTTTCTCACGAGTCTCTTCCTCATTATTCTTACCTAAAGATTGGGGGGAAAAATGGACGAGAAAGTAAATATGAAATATTGAAAACACATACACCTCTAAGAAAATAACAAAAGATTAAAAAATCCATAGCAAAATCCTAAACAACAGAAATGCTATCAAATTCCTGATAAAACAGGAGATTCTCAGAAATTTGTAAAAATAAGGAAGTCTTACAATTCGACTTTCTTGAAGAATCTCTCTAGAAACATTAAGAGGAAGATCATCAGAGTCCACCACACCCTTGACAAAGCTCAGATACCGAGGGAACTGCAAAAGGAATCTCAAATTTAATATTTGTGAGGATTTGTACAAGTAGAAAAAGCAGGCACCAAACAACATAATAAATTACATTAGACTTGACAGCTCAATTTGTCATATAAGAACTTCAATTCTTAGTCAAAAGCTTTATTTCTCAATAGAAGAAAACAATTGAATAACAAAATTGGCTGTAATCTGAATTAAAACATCGACAATGTATTCAAGTATTTTGCTCCCCAAAAGGTTGTGAGGGAGAGAATCTTATTTTTGAAACAAACTTGCACCATGTTTGGTGAACAATATGAAATGTGTTTGTAACCATCAAAATTCCTTGCTAAAAGTTGGCAGACATTAAGCAGAGAGGGGTCATTTTCCTATCCAAATTCATAGATATAATATCCCATTAGGAGTCTAGAAATGAAGAATGCGCAACACCACAGAAACCATTCCAAACCTACATAAGGTAAAAGCAAGGATTAGTGTGAAAAAACTTACCAGCTCACCATCGAAATCATCTGAGATAAAGACGCGCTTAACATACAAACGAATATTTTTCGTCTTTGGGTTGATAACATCCTCATTGTTGAGAGGACCCATTCCAGGAATATAAAGAACACTCCTAAATTCCACTTCACCCTGTGGTTTTCAAAGTAAAGTTAAAACTCTAAACCAGATTATATCATGCACAATATAATACCATAACCATAAAGTACCTCAGTTGTGAAATGAGTGTATCCAAGAGGGTCTAAGAAGTCATTGAACGTTTTCTTGTAGAACTCATAGTATTCTTCCCTTTGAACTTCCTTCGGACTCCGCATCTGCAACAGAACAAGGGAAAACAAGAAAAGGTTTACTTACCCAACAGAAACAGGGAAAACAAGAAAAGGTTTACATTTTCTTGTAGAACTCGTAGTATTCTTCTTTTTGTCACGGCAGAAGCAAACAACCGATATACAAACAGAAACCATTTGACTGTTTTGTCGCTTGGACATTAAGATATCATTTGATGATTTGTATCATATATCAGGAGCCCAGAGCACAGGAAACAAACTTACCCATATTGGCTTTGTTTCATTGGTTAATTCCCAGTCCCAATACTTCTCAGTTTTTTTTGTTTTCTTCGTTTTCTTCTCACCCTGTAACCAGTTTAATAAACCACTTCAATGTCCAAAAAATAATAAAATAAATGCAAACTCCACAATCCAGAATCCCATAGAAATTACCTCCGGCATTGCTTCTTCTCCTTCTTTCTGTTCCTCCTCCTCTTCCACCTATCATCAACTCCAATTTTGTTACTACAAACTGAAGCAAAGAGAATAGCCTTCCAACACATGGAAAGTGATTGTTACAACATAAAATGAGCTCTCACCTCAACTGTCCTTGATTTTTCCAACCATGTGTAGATGGGGAAAGATACAAACTGCGAGTAATTCTTCACCAAACTCTGAATCTTGGTTGGCTCTGAGAATTCATACTTGTCATCTGGCTGCAAGACAAAAGACGAGAAATTTTAAAAATGAATTTGACTAACCTGGGAAGTCTTTGCAAAAGTTGATTAATCAAAATTAGGATTCCATTATCAAATGTGCAGAATTGATGTGAACAAATTTACTGCTCCATAACAAATGAACGTGAATTATGTTTCACTTGAACCAAGAGAGTAGAAATGGCTGGATAAACCTTTTAAAACTATGGAATGCGGGTAAACACATATAGTTATATTTATGGAAAGCGGGTAAAGAATATAGTTAAGAGATCAAATCAAGCTACAGTAAATTTCCTGTGATAAAGTTAATAAAGATGTGTAATACCCTTAAATAAAGTGTAATTTGTGTTCCACGAGGTAACATTTTTTCAGGATCAGTTTCTTCCTTGATCACATATGAGCTGCTGTCAGATACTGCTTCCCAAATGTATTGCTTATCCGACCTCGGGCTCTTTGTGGAGACAACCACCTAAATGTACACGCATGATTAGAAACTCCAAGAAATCTATTTGCGTCATATGAGCAACTAAGAGTATGAAGTTCCAATAAAGCACTTTTCAAATGTTAAAACACACCGCACCTTCTCAGCAACAAGGAAAGCCGAATAGAAACCAACACCAAATTGACCAATCAAACTGTTGTCTGCACCAAGATCCTTATTTTCCTGTCAAGAATCAGGATTCACAGAGTAAGCTTCAAGAGTTAAAAGAACTAAAACTCATTCAGGTAGAAACAAAACAATACATTTTACATGTATTAACGGGGAAAAGTTATACCTTCAAAGCTTTTAAGAATTTTGAAGTACCACTCTGAGCAATAGTTCCGAGACAATCAATAAGTTCTTCCTTGGTCATTCCTATACCAGTATCCCTGCAAAACAGAATATCAGAGAATACCATTTCAAAAACACACTCCCATCTATCTTGGAAAGAAGTTAACTTTAAACTCATCATACGTGATAGTGATAGTTCCGTTGTCAGGATCAGACTTGATTCGGATCTCTAGCTGACCAGCATCTCCAAGCAGAGACGGCTCCGTCACGCTTAAAAATCTCAGCTTGTCTAAGGCATCACTTGCATTACTGAAAAAGAGAAAATAAACAAATTCATCACACAAATAGAAATGAAACACAAATGCATATATATAGTATGACTAATGACTTGTAAACACCATATCCCAGAGATTAGAAACACCAAGTTGAATACCAGAAATGAACTAATATGAAATTTTTTTTTAAAAAAAAGGTATTTAAATTAATTTTAGACATGATATGAAAAGTTACCTGACAAGCTCTCGAAGGAAAACCTCCTTGTGGCTGTACAGACTGTGAACTATCAAGTCCATAAGTCGACTGACCTACAAAACAAAACACACAAAATTTCACGATTTCATCAAACATTAGACTTTATTCACAAATCCCAAAAACTTCCCACTATGTTTCTTTTTTTTTTTTTTGGGCTTCTATTCAAATTCAACATTATTGAGAATTGACCTATCAGAACTTCTCCCAAAACACAAAGTTCTAAACTTGTTCCAAATTTCAACATTTCTTCAATCAAAAACTAATTAAAACCCCAAAATTGAAGGAGACCCACCTCGGCTTGGTACTCGAATTTCTCGCCGGAGGCGTCGGCGGCCTCTTTCTCAGCGACGGTGGCCTCGCAACGGACGGCAAAATTGCCGTTTCTCCTCTGGAGCTTCCAGTTCAATCCACTGCAAGAAAGTCCCTTTCTTCTGAGGCCATTTGGCGGGACGAAAGCACTTCTCAAGCTGAAGATATTGGGGCTTCTTCTGGCTGTGAAAGGAGAGGATGAGGGGAGTGAAGCCAGAGATGCCGTGGCCAAGCTTCTGCTCAAAACCGGAGCCATGGAGAGAGAGGGAGAGAGAGAGAGAGAGACGCAGGAGCAGATAGAAACGATATCCCTATCTATGTTTTGGGTGCGTTTTGAATGTGTAGAACTCAAAAACCCTTGCGAGGGGTTTAAGGGAGACGCTTTCTTCAAGTTGGAGAGAGAGAAAGCAGAGGAGAGTTCTAGAAAAAAACAGAACAATGAGAGGCTTCGTTAGGAGGCATTCGTGTGGGAGTTTTGAGAGGACTAGATTCTGCCATCTCAGCAACCGCAATATCCGCTTAATTTTTCTTGTCTCTTTCCTCTTTATTTTCTAGTTTCTTTTTCACTTAAGACCAGTTTTGACATTATAATGTTGGACACTGAAGGGCCTCTTTTTTTTAGTAATTTGAGTGTAATTTTTAAGTTAAATTTGAATTATAATTTAAGTTAAAATTATAACTTGAATAAAGTTAAATTAAGTTAAAACTTAAAAAAATATGAACTTGAATAAAGTTGGAATTCGAGTTATTTTTTTTTTAGTTTTTTTAGACAAAAGAACAGGCCCGAATTTGCGTTAAAATTTACAAACTCAAAAAATTAAGTCGTAAAAGTTATAGGCCTCGTTCACTTTGCGAATTCAAGTTTTTAATTTGAGCTGAGATGTGATATTTTTGAGAGCTTTTTACTGTAGCAGAAAAAGTTAGATGTGACATTTTCTAAGAGTTTTTTACTGTAGAAACTTAAAACTGAAAACTCAGATCGATAAAATGAACGAAGCCATAATAATTTGTGAAATTTAAATTTTGTGATAATTTATATTAAAATTTATAAACTCAAACTATTTATAGTAAATTTTAAAATTTCATAAATTATCGTTTAAATTTATAATTTTATAAATTTTAATGTAAAATTTCACAATTTATTATATCTCTCGATGGACTGCTAGGAAAAAGTGCGCAACATAAAAGGTTGAAAATGTTGTTGAAAATATTTGTTGTTGTTGTGCTCTTAGAAGTTACCATCACTAGAAGTATGTAATTGTTAGTAAATTTTTAACGAGATTGTGATTACTGAAAGTAAAAATTTAAGTGTTTAGTAAATAATGTATAAAATTATATATAAATTTTTATAATAAAATACTAAATAATTTTAATTTGTTAATTAAAACATTTCTAAAAAAATTACTAAATTTCTTATTTATTGTTGTCATTTTAAATTTTTTTAATAATTATAAAGATATTTGAGTAAAGTTTAACATTGTATATTACTAAAGATTTTCAATTTTTGAACAAATATTTACAAATATATATTTTTATATTTTGACAAAATAAAATGGGTATATAGAGAATTAAGTTTTATTTATCTTAATAAATTTATATATTAACAGCAAAAGCAGCTGTGTAAAAATAATCATTGATCTAATTCTCAAATTATGTTGTTTGACAATAGTTTTAGAAGTTGTTAAACAAAAATAAGATTTATCAAACACATTGACTTCTGTAATTTTAAAAAAAAAGGCTAAAAGTAACTTCTAAAAACAATGTCAAATGAGCTTTTAGTATTAACAAAAATATTATTATTAGTAATAGTGCCTTTAAAATGAAAGTTTTCAAATGATTTTTTTTAGGGAGTTGCCAAATAAATTTAGAACGGTTTTTTGTGTTCGTTAGCCAAAAAAAAAAAAAAAAAAACTGTTTTTTTGAAAAATATTCCAAGAATTTGTGTAAAAGTTAAATTACTTTTTTTGTCTATCTATTACCAAAAATAAAATAGTACTTCAAATTTTTGCATTTGTATTCACTACTTTATGTTGTATTAATTCTTCTTCAATTGAAGAGCTACATGCACAAAGCAAGGCCAAGATGAGATATGTGAAGACGCTATTATCAAAATTGCATGAGTGAAAGCCTATAATTTGGCATTAGAAGTGCTTAAGAGCCCGTTTAGTTCGCTGATTCGAGTTTTTAATTCGAGTTGAGATGTAACTTTTTGTGAGAGTTTTTTACTGTAATAAAAAAATTAGATGTAATTATTTTTAAGAGCTTTTTACTGTAATAAAACTCGAATTCTAAACACGAATCGGTGAAATGAACAAGAATGTCCATTTCCATTGGTTAAAGGATCAAGCAATAGCAGTAATTTAAGGAGTTTTATTTGTTTTTTCCTCCTTTTGAATGAACAAAGATAGGTGATTATAAGCAGTGTTTCTTTCCTAGAATAAAATTAGGTTTAAATTTTAGCCAAAGGGACTACCTTTTGCACCACCACTTGGGCAAATTTATTTTCCAAAACAAAATCTTCTCTCCTTAAACAAAAACAAGCCATCTACCAAAAGATTGAGAAAGATGTTACGTAAGTCGAATGAGGACTTCATGCATATTTGTCTCTTTTGACGTGGATTTAGTAATGTAACATTTTTGTTAAGTTGTTATCAACCTATGCAGAAAACTAAAACTCCCTGCTCAGTGGTCGGTACGTGAATGTGTGTTGTGTCCAGCAAGGATTTAAATCATGATTGTTTCGATCGTTTCTTGAATAAAATGGAAACCATTGGCCCAACACCGAATCAAAAAAACAAAGAACTAAAAATCGAGTACAAGTATCCTGAATTGAGAGAGATGCACGGTTGCCATGTTTATTACTTTTGTTATTCATAATTCCACATCAGCCCAGCAAAAGAAATCAAAGAGAAAGGACGACAAGCAGGTGGCAAGCTACATGGTCCTGTGTAACATGGGGGCAAAAAAAAAAAAAAAAAAAGTCACTGCCAACAGCTCAATATCCCAACTAATCAATCGAACACAGAATCCGAAAATAATTTACAACCCCAAGTATCAAGAACTTGGCCTTAATTTTCAACCTCATGCCTCTGAAGCTGCCTGCCTCAAACAATCAACGTTACACAATCCGACCGATCTCACCATGTCTCCTAAGCTGCCATCATCAATTTGCAACAGTAAATGTCATGTCTTTCTCTAGCTCAAGTGTAAACTGTAGCTGTGTGTTTGGTAGGGTGGAAAAGAGAGAGCAAAGAAAATAGAGGAAGGATTTTGAAGAGGGAAAATGTTTGGTCAGAGGATTCAAACCATGATTTGAATCATGGTTCATGATTTGAATCATGGTTCATGATTTGCTACAGTGTTTTCTCTCACAAAAAATACACATAAATCGAAAATGATTCTAATCACATGATTCTAATCCATGAACCAAACGTCTCTGAAATTTTAAGTTGTTTGGTAGAGAGGAAATGAAGAAGAAAGAAAAATGAAAATCTATGGGACCCACCAACTTTTAATGCTTCTAACTTTGGGAATAAAAAAGAGGGAAAAAATTTGACAAATAAATGAGGTGTAAAGTAAGAATTTTATGGTGCGTTTGGAAATGCTTTTTTGTTGTTTTGGAAAATGTTTCCGCATGTCTTTTGAGGCACAAAAATGAAAATGGTATGCAAACCGCATTTATTTAGCAAATGTTTTAAAAGCGAAAACGAAAACAAAAAACAATGAGAATTGTTCTTGTGAAGGAACTAGAAAACGATTTAAGGTTATTTTTTCTTTTCCGTTTTTATTTTTTAGTATTTATCAATAATGTTATCTTAAAAAATTATTATTAATTACTAATTATGTAACATATTAATTAATAATTAATAAATAGATATGACTAATAACTAATAAATAGAAAGAAATTACTTAATTATCAATTAAATATTAATTTATTATTATTAAATTTGTAATTTATTAATAAAGATAATAAATAATAAATGGTAATTAATTCTTTAGTTAAAGATTAATTGTCAAAAATTAATTATATAATATATTAATAATAGAATAATTAATAATAGGTTATTAAATAAAAAACCAATTATTAATATATCTATTAATTAGTAAATATTTGATAAATAAAAAACAAACAATAATAAATATGAGTAATTAATAAACTAATTGTTTAATTATGTGACTAAAAGTTAATTATTTAATTAGTAAATAGAATATTAATAAATTATTTCTATACTAATTATTTTTTATTAACACGCTAATTAATTACTTATAAACTATTAAATATGAGTATGTTGGTAACATAATAATTACTCATAATTGATTATTAATTACTATATTTTATTTATTTAGCATACTAATTTATCATATATATAGTTTAATTATTAATGTATTCATTAATGATAATATCTATTATTATTAATATATTAATATTTATTTGTTAAGTGATTATTAATTACTTAATATATTAATTTAAGATTATTAATTACATGTACTAAAAAAAATTTATAAGTATAACCAAACACGATTTCACATTTTTATTATACTTAAAAGATCAACCAAACGTAATTTCAGAATCGGTTTCAGAATAATTTTTAAAACAATTTCTTTTTTACTTTTCTACTGAAAACAAAACCATTTTGAAAACATTACCAAACGGGTCTTTAACTTTTATCATTTTTCATATTTTTATTTGTATTAGAGTATTATTATAAAATGCTTTATATTTAACATTTTCTTTTAACTTTTATTTCTCTTCTACTAACAACGTGAGAAAAAACTATTTTACTTCTTTCATATATCTTAACTAAGGAAAACAGTTAAAGTTTCGATGATTAAACTAACCGGTCGAAGCTATTTCGTGCTCTCTCCGATTGATCTGTGCTGTTCCTTGCCTTTCCGGACCGATCAATGCTCCTCCTCGACTTCTCCCTCTTGTCAGTGCTGGTTCTTGATTTCTCTCTGCTGTCTGTGCTGAGCCTTGATTTTTCTCTTTGCCCGGTACTAGTCCTAGACTTTTCTCTATGATCAGTGCTAGGCCTGGACTTCTCTGTGTTGTGGTCTGCTGTCTTCAAAGGACTCTCGGGTTTATCTGTAGCCTGCTCGGTTGAGCCTTGAACGGATGGAAGTTTCTCGATGGCGGTTATGAACTTTCTGAGATGCCTTAAGTACTCCGGATAGAGTTCCAAGTTGCAGTGGTTTCCTCCTTTGAGCCACAAGGGTTCATACTTCTCTTTGCAGAGCTCCCAAAGCTGCTTGCCATGGGAAAAATCCACAACTTCATCTTCAGTGCCCTACGAAATTCGACATAGCAATGTCAAAAATGATACCTTTAACTAAACCCTCTTAGAGTTAGAACTGTGTAAATCCATCATTGTCAGTTCAGTCTCACATTCTCAACACAAATGAAAGGTTACAAAGCCGTGTTATGCAGGAAAAAAGAATGTCAAAAACATTACTTGGTGGAAGAATGCAGGGAAAAGAGTCCTCACTCACATGAATTACCAGAACCGGGCAGTTGACAAGCGGAATTTTATCGATGTTCTGCACCACAAGGAGGCCAGTAAACCTTTAAGTAAGGAACGGAATTTCATAGATAAAGCACTAGGACTTATGCTGTACGCAATAAGAGCAAAGAGAACATGTGTAAAAACCTTGTAAATGTCGAACCAAAAAGTGCGCTTGACCGGATACATGACCCGAAGACCGGAAAGGATTGGACTGTGCAGAACCACAGCCCTCAAGTGAGGCAATCTGACGGCCAATTCCAAAGCAGGTCCACTTCCAACTGACTGTCCGTACAGTATTGTGTCTTCCTCTTTCACTCCATACTTCTCCTCAAGGCATTTATATGCAGCCTCTATATCTGCATATGTGTCCTGCTCACTTGGCTAATAATTGGTAAAACAAACAAAAAAAAGGCGAAAAAAAAGAAAATCATGTTACAAACTAACAGATTATGAGAAACAATGCAAAGTGATTTCTATATCCACAAGTCAAATCTATCATATTCTTTCCTCTTTGACTTTTTCCTTTACATTTCTGAAACAATTGTAACACGTGCTCAGATTTTGGGCTTGAAAAAGTTGCGCGCACACAAAAATATTTATACCTTTCCAGTAGACTGTCCATACCCAGAATAGTCGTACCTGGACATAACAACAAACAGAACACTGTCAATTCATAGCAAAAACATCCCTTTTTTCCTCCCTCTAAAACATCAGAACTATCATTTAAAAAAAAAAAATTGAAAACCCAAGTGAAGTAATTATGACAAACCCCATAAGATTAACACCCAGATGAAGACTAAGCTCAGTGAAGATATGATACATCTGACCAAGATCAGCGGCGTTTCCATGAGAGTAAACAAGCGTGAGTGATGCAGATGGGTTTTTCACGTACATGGCCACAATCTCGTTTCCTCTCTTGGTGCTCAGTTTCATCACGTCCACGTCTTCTCTGGGATGAACATCTGATATCCTCATTTTCCTGCTTAATTCTTCCACGTACACTCTGTAAGAAGGAGGGTCTGGTGGGAAAAACGCAAATTTTGCAGCCATTGAAGATGTTGCAGACCCCATGTTTAATGATGTATAATTCACCCAAAAAAAAAAAGTCTAAGAACTTGTGAATATATTTTGCATGGTGAAATCAAAAATGGTTTTCTGGGTTCTCGATAAAATTTGTAGAGAGGGAGCGAGAGAGAGTATAGAGAATGCAAAGATATAAAGTACAGAGATTTATATTTGTGACGGAATCCTTGTCGGATTTTGTGTTATTGCAAAGAGTGATTTTCGGAATCTGGTTTTGTTAAGTAAAAGTTATATGTGGGATCTTTACGTTTTTACAATTTTCTTTGGTGAATAGTTTTGGTAAAATCTTTGGGAAGGCCAACTTAGTTTCCATTTTTATTTTCATTTTTTTTTTTTGTTTGATGTGAATATTGTGGTTTGTAATTTGTAACGTCCTCATCAAAAGGTGTACTGTAATTTGGAGTGGAAGATATGTCACAGGAGAGGACAAGAAAACGCTCCTTTAAAAAACTTGTCCAAGAATGCTCCTTTTGTAAAATTCAGAAATCCAAGATTTTCCTTTTTCCCTCTCTCCTCTTATATGTGGTTTCATATCATATTTGAATCAAATTTTACGCTCATTTGACTTTCTCACACTTGTAGTTTGAACAATGGAACATAATCATTTGCCAGGAAAAAAAAAGCAAAAATTCCGGAAAATTAATGGACATATCCATCTTATAGTATATAGCTTTTGTTGCAATATATTTATTTAAATGTTTATAGAATTTATAGAATGTGAACCCTTGGGCATTCTGACATTATTTTCATAGAGAAGATTGAAGGTCGCGCCTTAAATAAGCTAACATATGTTTGTTGGTTAGGATCCGAATTTTGTTCAACTCATTTATCTATTTTTGTGGCCAACCTTTCTTTTCGACAATGATGTTTGAGTCCCACATTTTATGGGTGAACACTTTGCAGTTTGTATGGTATATGAGAACAATAATCACTCATATTAGATGTATTGTGATCGATATTGGACGTTGTTTTCATGACTTCGATGGGCCAAAAAAAAATAAAAATTAAATTTGGGACAGCAAAGGAGAAATGTGGCTCCAAAAGTAAGTGAATGATGAATTGGTGGGGGCTGATTAGCACACAAAATAAAAAGGAAAATAAATGGGTGGGACTTAGCATGAGAAGTGAGGAAACATTCCATGATTGCATATTAGACTATTAGTACATTATCTAATTCTTTTTTGACCTTAGAATGACTTGTTTCTCTATTTTAAGCTACATTTTTTTTTCTCTATAACTATGAGCCTTCTATCACACAAAATATAAACAAAGCAGTAGTGAAATGCTTTACAGGTTGTATATATGCAATATTTTGACACCAACTTTTTCCGTCCTATGGTAGATTTTCAAATATGTATGTTCACATTGGAGTGTAGTAACAAAGACTAAACAATGTGTTACCTCCATAGAAATTTGAAGTATATATGTGAAGCGTCTCTTTGCTTATAATTATGTGTTTACAGCTATCGAAAGAGAGACATTAAAGGAAAAGAACAACTTTTTTCACCAATTTTTCTTTATGGAAATGTTTGGTTTGATCCACATTATATATTTGCAAGCTCAGCAATATTAGTTCCTTTTAAGTAATGATATAACTCTTGGACAGCGAAGCAAAATGTGGCTAATCAAATTCTGCTTCCATTTGATTAGGGAAAAATCTTCTCATTTTTGTATGATAGTAGCCAACTGGTTACTTTCTTTTATTATATTTTGTTTAAGAAGAAGAAGGGTGTTCGTGTATAATGCGTTGATGGGACCTCAATGCTCATCTTTTGAAAAACAAAAAACAAGCAAAGCGCCGATAATGGAGTAATACGGACGCATGAGCATGCTGTCAACTGTACTCAATCAAAGCAATTACAATATTGCTTTTCCAGGGCATCCTACATATTTTTGAGGATCTTTAAAAGGACCTACGTACTACATGGTATTATATATTTGTATATATATATATAT